CCACCTCAGTCGGTATTGTGGTCCCTTCACTTACTAGCTCTCTGAACATGGGCAAAATACTTAATTTCACAACACTTTTATCCTTATTTGTAAAATGTGGGTCAGAATACTACTTCATCGCCAGGCATGGTGGCTCATGCCTGTAATTCCAGCACTTTGGTAAGCTGAGTTGGGAGGATCACCTGAAACCAGGAGTTCGAGACCAGCCTGGGCAAGATAGTGAGACTGTCTCCACACACACACAAAAATTTTTTTATTAGCTGGGCATAGTGGTGCTTGCCTATAGTCCTAGCTACTTGGGAGGCTGGGGAAGGAGGACTGCTTGAGTCCAGGAGGGAGAGACTGCATTGAAGCCTAATTGTGTCATTGCCCTCCAGTTTGGTTGACAATGCAAGAGCCTATCTCAAAAACAACAAAAAAACACTTGATAGGATTGTTAAAAGGATTAAATTCAACGTGAAAAGTATTTAGGAATGGTGCCTAGGACATACTCAGTACTAAGTGTTAACTACCATTACCACCTACTGAGCCATTCTTCCCCAAATTGCTGATGTGAAACTTATTTGCATATTTAATCCCTTACTAAATGTCAAGTGTTTTGCCACCAGGCTCAGCTAATTTTGTACTTTTAGTAGAGACGGGGTTTATCCATGTTGGTCAGGCTGGTTTCCAACCCCTGACCTCAGGTGATCCACCCACCTCAGCATCCCAAAGTGCTGGGAATACAGGTGTGAGCCACCGGGTCCGGCATTGGTGTTCTTAAGCACGTGTGCATTTATCTTACTCAATCCTCACAACCTATGTGGTAGGTTACTTTCTATTTTAACAGATAAGCAAACTGCTATGACCTTATTTAGGTCATACAGCTAAACCCAGGCAATCTGACTACTGACTCTCCTAATCATTACACCCCATTACTTCCACTGAAAAGTTAACCGTAAGAGTCCTAGCTTTTTATTTTGAGATGGCATCTCCCTCTGTTGCCAGGCTGGAGTGCAGTGGCACGATCTAGGCCAACGGCAACCTTTGTCTCCCAGGTTCAAGCCATTCTCTCTTGCCTCAGCCTCCCAAGTAGCTGGGACTACATGCCCAGCTAATTTTTGTATTTTTAGTAGAGACAGGGTTTCACCATGCTGGCCAGGTTGGTCTCCAACTACTGACCTCAAGTGATCCGCCCGCGTCAGCCTACCAAAGTGCTAGAATTACAGGCATGAGCCACCTCACCTGGCCATTTTTTTTGTTCTTATAACTTGCATGCACAGATCAGCACTGGTGATGGGTCCCAGCTTTTTATATAATAGATTATTCCTTCATATAATTCCAAATTTACATATTGAGTAAGCCAAAGTCCAGGAAGCTAAGCAACCTCCCTCAAGGTAAGAGTTTCACTTATTTGGGGCAAGATCACTTTCCCATTTGTATTTATCTGGAAATTGGATAATACTGAACCAGATTCTTAGATCACCTACTTTTGAGGAAGGATTCTGAGGTTCCTAATTTGGACTGGCAATGTGGTTTAGTAAAATCGGAAAACATATCTAAAGTGTCCCATTCCAGTTCCAGCAATAGCTGCCTTATAGACAGAAATCTTAAGTATTTTAGAGTCAAGAGACCTGTGATCAACTCACATTTTACACCCTACATGCTATCTTTGTATAAGCAGTAAATATAAGTGATAGGGCTTTAGAATTTCTAAGGCTTTATAAAATTATTTAATATTTATTAAACCCTTTCTAGCAGCAGACATGGATGACACCACTCATGAAGAGTAAGAAGCTATTCAGGTGTAATTTATAAATATTACTTATTTAGGGTCATTGGCAATAAACTAGTATAGACTCCAGATGAGAAACTGATGCTATAGATATACTTTTAAAAATCATTTAAAAATACTATATACAGTAAATCTAGTAATTAAAATGGCAGTAACAAAATACATTTACCTGAATTGCTGAACCTCTCAAATTTATTTTGCAGATCAGGTTATTAATATAACTTTTTTTTTTTTTTTTTTTTTTTTTTTTTTTGAGACGGAGTTTCGCTCTTGTTACCCAGGCTGGAGTGCAATGGCACGATCTCGGCTCACCGCAACCTCCGCCTCCTGGGTTCAGGCAATTCTCCTGCCTCAGCCTCCTGAGTAGCTGGGATTATAGGCACGCGCCACCATGCCCAGCTAATTTTTTGTATTTTTAGTAGAGACGGGGTTTCACCATGTTGACCAGGTTGGTCTCGATCTCTCGACCTTGTGATCCACCCGCCTCGGCCTCCCAAAGTGCTGGGATTACAGGCTTGAGCCACCGCGCCCGGCCTATTAATATAACTTTATATGTCATCATCCTACAGTTTGCAGGGACATAGTTCTTTTTGATATTATATAGGAAATTCCAGAGCCAGATAGTATAAAATATTTATTCAAAACAACAGTATTTAAAACATTTACTAAGAGTCCCATAGAGGATTCTCAAATATTTTAAACATAGGATGCAGACTTGCTATTCCCAGTGCATAAGGCAAAAGGTCATTTCTAGAGTAACTGTGTATCTGCAACATAATACAAAAGAAACATTTACTTCAATACTTGTACATTGAGGAAAACGTCATTCAACGTATTTTAATTTTAGTACACCCAGAGTAGGAAAATAATAACTTTTATACAGGTCTCCGGAATTCCTGTTTTTCCTTTAGATAAGCTTCAAATTTATCTAAAGGAAAAACAGGAATTCTGGAGACCTGTATAAAAGTTATTATTTTCCTACTCTGGATGTAGGAAAAGTTTTCAAAATACTTGTATTTTTGTTTTCAGTTAAATTTCCCCCAAATGTTAACTTCAACTATTCTTTATTCTACTTGATAACATTTTTCATGTTTAGCAATATTATACGCTTCCCTCTTTAAACATTTAAAGTAACTAAAACATTTTAGCATTATCTCAGGTTTTCAAGCTGATGTAGCAGTTTATACACCTTTGTATCTTACAAATAGTGCATAAAACAAAATACATTCTATATAATGTCTAATGTTAATGTAATGAGAAATACACTTACAGCAATAACTTAGCCCTCTTTACCATTTAATCCATGATATAGGAGGCAAACAAACATTGCGAAAGATGACACGTGGCCCTTGGGGTATATATGTATGTGTGTGAATGCATACACCCAACACACATTCACGTAGGCGTATATGTATTGATGTATGCACTGCTGTAACTAGAGAGACCATATGCAACCATAAAAAAATAATAAAATTAGTGGAATATTAAATGAATAAAAAGACAAATCAGAAGATTTCAGAGGAGGAGTAGGCACATGTATATAAAAAGGGTAGATTAAGACTTCAAGGTGGAAGTCAGATCTGTTCTGAGATTTAAAATAGAGTTGTAATTGTGGTAAGCTAGGAGAAGAAGGCAAGGTATTCCTGCCTCAGGAGAATTATAAATCAAGGTTTCTAAAGACCCATGCTCACTGAAGCAGTTCAGTAAAAAAAAAATGGGAGATTACAGTGGAAGGCGGAATAGACAAAATCCATTATAGGGATCTTACATGTCTTTAAATTTGAACTCAATTCTAGAATTAACAATGAACCATTAATGGAATTTTAAGCAAGGAAGTGACCCAATCAAAACAGTTCCTTAAGATCACAAGGCAACTATGCAGGAGACACTGGATGGGGAAAAGGCTGAAGGCAAAAAGCTGCCATCACAGTGGTTTAGGAGAAGAAAGTGATACATGTGAGATAATTTTTGTTTATGGTACTGGCACATGAAGAACAGGAAAGAATGTCAAAAACTTTCAGCCTATCACAGGTATAACTCACTTATCATTTTTTTAACAAATCCAAAATGTCTACAGACATTCTGCTCTTTTGATTCTCAGTAATTAAGGGCTTCTCAGACTTGACTGGCGAAACTGAGCTTCCTATTAGATGTTTAACAATCTCTACCGAAGCATACATGCAGCTACGTACCTGCTTCTTAAAAGTACCGCAGGGTTCAATGTGAATCTCTATTTCCTAGCAGCAGTTCTCCCCCTTTGTTGAGCTTAAGAATTACCAGGGAAGCATATTTAAAATATAATTAAGTGAAATAATGCACATTAAGTGTCTAGCAATGGCCATGGCACTTCTGCAGATGCTAAGACAGCCTTACATGCTAAGATTTTCAGATCCTGAGTTTTCTTAAAGCAGACTAAAGAATAGTTTCCCCATAGACCTGCACAGTCCGATTTGCTGTATTAACTAATAAAAGACAGCAATTTAGGTGAAGCTTTTTCTTCCTCCTTTTCCATTACAAAGAAGGTAGTTACAAGTGCTTTCTTCTGTCTTTTCTCACAAAAAGATGAGTCTTCACACTGGGATAGGACAAACAACTTAGAGACAGGTAGCCCAAGACAAGTGAAAAAAGATGACTGTTAAGCCACCTACTTCCATAAATTTCCCCTCCACCTTCTCTCCTTGCCAGTTCCTTGGGGGCTAGTGGACAAGATTTTGATGGTTGTGAGATGGGGTCTACGAAGGGCACTGTAGGTAAGATCACCCTTCCAGTGCCTGTTCCATTCCTCCTGGTTTACAGAGGGCGATAGTATGTGTTCACTTAGATCAGGCGTCCCCAAACCACGGCCCACGGGCCGCATGCGGCCCCCTGAGGCCATTTATCCGGCCCCCCCCCGCACTTCAGGAAGGGGCACCTCTTTCATTGGTGGTCAGTGAAAGGAGCATAGTTTGTGGTGGCCCTCCAACGGTCTGAGGGACAGTGAACTGGCCCCCTGTGTAAAAAGTTTGGGGATACCTGACTTAGACGCTAGACACAAGTCTTTCTCTGAGCAGGGCATCTGAAGGAATGAGGCAGGAGACTGTACCAGCATGCCAAGTTATTTAACCCCAAGTTCGGTTTTCCCAAGTTATTGTGAGGCTATTCTGTAGGGAATGAGGAATTTTGCTGTTTGTTCCTTGTTCCTCTCCCCCAACAGGGAGTACCTCAAAAAAACCCAACAACAAAAAAACAGACTAATGAAAATTTTAATTTATATTTTTTGTTAAAATATTAAGCTAGGGTTAAATTATCGAAGTCTAAATTAGACTCAACATAAATGTTATACAACTCACTGGATGGATTTATAGTTTGACAGTGTTCCTTTCAAGTGTCTACTCATCTTCCATCTTTTTCCTTTTTTTAAATCATTCCGCCCCAGTCTTCACTTAATCATCACATGCGCTTTATTCTACCAAACATCACTACTTGGGATCATTCTACTTGAATAATCATGAAGCCTGTTTAGAGCTTTTCCAGTCTTAAAATTTGTCATCTTGACTACACATCCCAAGGCACTACTTTTCTCACTTTTTCTGGTTAGCCAGAATGTTCCATAAAGAAACAGTGAAAGTTGTATACTTCCCTAAGATTTAAAATTAGTATATTCAATGGCTATTAACCACTTAGTGAACATACAACAAAAACTACTCATCCTTATATTAACTGACTTAAGTTATAAGAATTACACTAGTACTTTGTCATTTATGCTTAATGCTTACAAGATTACTCAAGAAATCAAAATGGCTTCCCATTGCTTGACATTTGCTTTCCAAATACTTCACATTTCAATCTCATAAACCTACAAAAAGAAAAAATCCAAACATATTTTCCTTACCTAAAAATATTAAAGAAGGCTAAAAGGCATTTGGAATTTTTTTTTAAACATTGAAAAACAGTGCTACACTTCCAACATGTATTTAAGTTATAAATCAGTTTCTATCCTGTGGCATAGCTTCAATTTAAGTGCATCACAGTCGTATTAAATAGGTACGTCTTCAACTTGTCAAGTCAGATGGAGGTTCTTTTGCATCAAGGCTCTTATTCAAAATGTCTTCTTCTGCAAATTGATTTAAAAAAGAAAAGAAGTATAAGCAAATAGTACAAAGAAAAATAAATAGGACAGATTCCAGGCAGTAGCAAACACTCAATTATGATAAAATTACTATTATTCTCACCAAAGTACCCTCTTTTCCAAAGATCAATACATTCCTCCTAGAATACTTTTTTTTTTCCTGAGACAGGGACTTGCTCTGTGACCCAAGCTGGAGTGCTGTGGCATCACAGCTCACTGCAGCCTCAAACTCCCAGGCCCAAGCAATCTTCCCACCTCAGTCTACAGTGTACCTGGGACCACAGGCATGCACCAACATACCCAGCTAATTTTTTTTAATTTTTTGTAGTAACACAGTCTCCCTGTGTTGCCAAAGCTGATCTTGAACTCCTGTATTCAAGCAATCCTCCCATCTTTGGCCTTCCAAAGTGCTGGTATCGCAGGCATCAGCCACTGTGCCCAGCCAAATACTTTTCAATGTAGTAGTGTATAACTATTAGGGCAAATCAGAGTGATATATAATAAATCTGTATCACCAGATCCTTATCAGTCCTAATGAGCTATAAGAGCAATTTTTTTAACCTTTTATGAGGAAAATGTTCAAACATACAAAAGTGAAGAAAAGTAAGATTAACTCAATGTATCCATCACCTAGCTTCAATATTTATTAATACTAACAGTTAAGGACTGAATTGTGTCCCCCAAAAAGATATGTTGAAGTTCTAACTCCAGTACCTCAGAATGTGACCATATTTGGAAATACAGTCATGACAGATATAATTAGCTAAGAAGTGGTCATACTGGAGTATGGTGACCCATAAATTAGCTAATATGACTGTGTCCTTCTAAGACACATAGACACACAAGGGAAGACTACCATGTGACAATGGAGGCAAAGGTTAGAATTACACTGCCACAAGCCAAGGAATGCCTGGTGCTACCAGAGGCTAGAGGAGGAAAAGAAGGATCCTCTTCTAATGGCTTCAGAGGAAACATGCCCTTTCAACACCTTGATTTTGGACATCTAGCCTCTAGAACTTACTGTCTCCAGAGACAATAAACTTCTGCTGTTCTAAGCCACCCACTTTATGGTACTTGGTTATGGCAGCCTAGGAAACTAATGTACTAACCTGGCTTCTTTTATTTCTACTCCCCACTCCCACCAAATTTATTTCAAAGGAAGAGATATTACACCATTACAACAATGATATTTAAAATTGTGTTTCTCTACCAGACTTCACACTATACTACAAGGCTACAGTAATCAAAACAGCATGGTACTGGTACCAAAACAGAGATATAGACCAATGGAACAGAACAGAGGCCTTGGAGGCAACACAATACATCTACAACCATCCAATCTTTGACAAAGCTGACAAAAACAAGGAATGGGGAAAGGATTCCCTGTTTAATAAATGGTGTTGGGAAATCTGGCTAGCCATGTGCAGAAAACAGAAACTGGATTCCTTCCTCACACCTTACACTAAAATTAACTCCAGATGGATTAAAGACTTAAACATAAGACCTAACACTGTAAAAACCCTAGAAGAAAATCTAGGCAAAACCATTCAGGACATAGGCATAGGCAAGGACTTCAGGACCAAAACACCAAAAGCATTGGCAACAAAAGCCAGAATCGACAAATGGGACCTAATCAAACCACACTGCTTCTGCACGGCAAAAGAAACAGTCATTAGAGTGAATTGGCAACCAACAGAATGGGAAAAAATCTTTGCAGTTTACCCATCTGACAAAGGGCTGATATCCAGAATTTACAAAGAGCTAAAACAGATTTACAAGAAAACAACAAACAAGCCCATTCAAAAGTGGGCATAGGATATGAACAGACACTACAAAAGACATATGTGAGGCCAACAAACATATAAAAAATGCTTATCATCACTGGTCATTAGAGAAATGCAAATCAAAACTACATTGAGATACCATCTCACGCCAGTTAGAACAGCGATCATTAAAAAATCTGGAGACAACAGATGCTGGAGAGGATGTGGAGAAATAGGAACACTTTTACAGTGGGTGGGAGTGTAAATTAGTTCAACCATTGTGGAAGACAGTGTGGCGATTCCTCAAGGACCTAGAAAGAGAAATTCCATTTGACCCAGCAATCCCATTACTGGGTACATATCCAAAGGATTATAAATTGTTCTACTATAAGGACGCATGCACACAAATGTTCACTGCAGCACTGTTTACAATAGCAAAGACCTGGAACCAACCCAAATGCCCATCGATGATAGACTGGACAGGGAAAATGTGGCACATATACATCATGGAATACTACGCAGCCATCAAAAACAATGAGTTCGTGCCCTTTGTAGGGACATGGATGAACCTGGAAACCATCATTCTCAGCAAACTGACACCAAGAGCAGAAAATCAAACACCGCATGTTCTCACTCATAGATGGGAGTTGAACAATGAGAACACATGGACACAGGGAGGGGAGCACTACACACTGGGGTCTGTTGGGGGAAAATAGGGGAGGGACAGGGTGGTGGGGAGCTGGGGAGAGCATGGGGAAAAATGCCAGATATAGGTGATGGGGAAGAAGGCAGCAACTCACACTGCCCCATGTGTATCTACGCAACAGTCTTGCATGTTCTTCATACATACCCCAAAACCTAAAATGCAATTTAAAAAAATAAAAATAATGAAATAAAATTGTGTTTCTCAACTTTCTGAAAACCACCTTCCACTGGACAAGATTTTGATGACTTTCACCTTTTCGGTCATTTGTATTATAAAACCAGTAGCTTAAGGTTGGGGGGCTTTTTTCCCCACCCTCATCCCAAATCAATTGTAGCTATATATACATCAACAGAGATTCTGAAAGGACCTTTACAGTAAGGGATTGTTCCCTTCATCCTAGATGAAGGAGGAGCACATTAACAATAAAGGTCGGCCAGGCACGGTGGCTCACACCTGTAATCCCAGCACTTTGGGAGGCTGAGGCGGGTGAATCACTTGAGGTCAGGCGTTCGAGATCTGCCTGCCCAACACAGTGAAACCCTGTCTCTATAAAAAAGAAAAGAAAAAATAATAATAATAATAAAGGTCATGCAGCATTCATTATGTACTGGTTTCATCAAAAGTTGAGAGAAAACTTCAATAAGTGAATATGCATAGGTCATTAAACCTTACCTTTTAAATTAGGTAGCTCTCCAAGACTACATGATATTGTGGTCCTCAATCTTTGTTCCACTGGAGAAAACTTAATTAGTGGTGAAAGAGATTGTTTTCTTTCACCAATGGACATGCGTAATGATGGCTTTGTATGGTCAGTATGCAAATCATGGGTGTCCAAAAAGTTAAGCATATCCTTTGTTTGTACATTTTGGGTAACAGGGCTCAATACTGGTTTGTGTCTTTCAGGCGTTAGGGGATTGGAGAGGTAAGATTCTTCCCTTTTCTTGGAAAGAAATTTCTTGAGAGCCTCATATCTACTGCAAAGAGCCTGAATATTGACGTCTGATTCTGGAGTAGTCTGTCTCCTTTCCACAACATGTTCTAGAAAAATGCCACCATGCATAGGACTATTTGGCTCCAGTTTAAAATTGGCCTCTGAACTACTGGAACTATTAAAACTTAGGTGACCAACTTCTTCCGGAAGAGTTTCATGTAATATGCCAAAATCAGTATCTTTAAAACTCTCAGAACTAATTCCACTTGATACTTGAAAAGAGTTCCACAAGGTAGTTTTATCTGTGGAAGGCTTGTTACAAGAAGCTTGTAAGTGGTCCAATATTTTAGTACACTCCTCTTCACTGCCACGCATCACATCTATCCTACTGCCAACAGCAGGGGAGAATGTCTCCATTTGGCTAGTTTCTGAAAGCTTAGTTAAGGCTATACATTCCAAATCTTGCTTGCAAATTACTTTCTTATTTAACAAATCTGACTGATTTTGTGTTAGTGGTTCATCTATGTGACTGGTCACAACATGTTTCTGAGGCACACACTTGCAATCTGAAACATTTTTCTCTTCAGTCGAATGAGACTGGCCAAAATCTGATACAGTGGTTTCAAAGAGAAAATCGGCCATGCTAAATTCTCTTTGATCATGCAACACAGATGATGATTCTGGCAATACTTCTCTATGCTCAGTATCCATTTGAATTGGTTCTGTAGTTCTGTTTTCTTCCATTTCAATAGCTTTTCTCCATGAGCTCCTAATTTCATTTACTAATTAAAAGGGGAGAAAACACAATTTACTAACATTCCCAAACACAGAGCATGCAATGAATCATTTTATTTCTAACACCAAAGATAAAGCTCCTGACTCAGTACGTGTTCTATAAATATACTGGATGGATGACAAGGCTCCACAATACAACAAATCCCACCATCAAAGAACCCCATCTCTAACTGATCACACACAAATAAACACATATAAAGACAGATGTTCCTGAAATGTGCATCAACTTTTACATAGCACATATGAATTACATGTATTAAAAAGAAATTTTCTTGTCCATCTAGGCCACGGTTTGGCACATTTTCTATAAGGGCCAGACAGTAATATTTTAGGCTTTGCAGGCAATCCATTCTGTCTAACTACTTAACTCTGCCATGATAGCATGTTCAATACAATTTTATACGCTTATGTTCAGTACAATTTTATCTACAAAAACACACAAAGTGGGGCCCGATTTAGTTCAGAGGCTGTAGTTTCTGACGGAGGCTGTGGTTCAGTTCAAACTGAATTAAATCAACAGCAAAACAGAAATTATTTAATTACACAACCAAGATGATGTGCCTACCTAAGGACACCAATATCAGAGCTTTGCCTACACAAATTACAGGTTATAGGGAAAAAGGTATTGGGCAGTTCGACTCATTTGGGAGGGGTAAAGACCTCCACACACATGGTTCATGGCTGATGCTTCTTGTTGATAACTGAGAGAACATACTTCTGTACTCTATAAATATGTGGATCACAGGTCAGATCTGGAGGCAAGAGTTTTTTTTTTAATGCTCAAATAAGATCTTTCTAAATAAAAGCCAAGTAAAACAACAAAAACAAAATTGTATATTATCAAAATGTTCTATCTCTGAATAATGAGTACACTAAAGGCACAAAATACTGCTAAAAGACTGTTATGTGAGAATGCCCATACTTAGTATGTAGATAAAAATCCCTTACAGCAGCATAAATAAAAAGTCATTGCCACCGGGTGCGGTGGCTCACCCCTGTAATCCCAGTACTTTGGGAGAACGAGGCAGGCGGATCTTGAGGTCAAGAGATGGAGACCATCCTGGCCAACATGGTGAAACCTATCTCTACTAAAAATACAAAAATTAGCTGGGCATGGTGGTGCGTGCCTGTAATCCCAGCTACTCGGGAAGCTGAGGCAGGAGAATTGCTTGAACCCAGGAGGCAGAGGTTGCAGCGAGCCGAGATGACACCACTGCACTCCAGCCTGGTGCCTGGCAACAGAGCAAAACTCCGTCTCAAAAAAAAAAAAAAAAAAAAAAGTCGTTGCCAACTAAGCTAAAAAGATCTGTCAGGCCATAGTTCTAACAGTGGTAATGTCAAAGAAAGAAAAGAGTTACAGAAAGCATTATTAACTTACTCAAGTTTTCTGGAGTGCGGGGAATCTGATTCCTTGTTAAGAAGGGGTTAGAACACAGAGAGTCAATTAGTTCCTCTAATTTTATTTCTTTTCCTTCAGAGAACTGTGGTGAATCAGATAAAACTGCTCTGGTAACCTAAAACAGAAAAGAAAAAGTAAAGCAAAGATTACCAAGCCCATTGGTAGAATGCAACAACCCCCTGATAAGCACTTCATGGTCAGTAGCCCCTCCCTTTGCAGACAGCACAAAAATAAGCAACAAAGAAGTTCCCAGCAAGTCTGTACAGACCATCTAGGTACAATCCTGTAAAGTGAAATGAAACTCTAAAGTATTTCCTCATCTTAAATGGAGAGCCCATTATAAAGGAAAGAATAGATAACAATCTTTACACTGGGAAGATTCAGGGGCAGTTCCAGTTGCCCAGTGTGACCTGGGCTGCTATCTGCCACAACTTTGAGCTTGACAGCTCTGTATTCACTAGAATGACTAGTTTTAAAAGAAGCACTCTTCTTTCACTTATAATTAATTTGCATAGTAACACCTCTATTAAGAAACAAAATCATTCTGACAACATACCTCTTTGCCAGAAACCTCATTATCAGATCTAAATTAATGAAAAAAGCAGAGATACATTCTAAAACAGAAAAGTATATAACATCATAATAGTGATCTCTATTAACCATCAATAAAACTAAAAAAAAAAAAAATGCAAATTTAAAACTCTGCCCTCTGACATCACTAAAAAATAAACTTCTTGAAGCCATAATTAAATTGGCCCAAGAAAATAAAGGGCTTTTCCCTCACAAAAACAGAGTGCTTCTGGGAATTCAAATACTGAATATCACCTGTCATAAACACTCTTAAAGAAAATTAATTTCATTTTACTTTCAGAGCTTCATGAGATTTTAAGACTTTCCTCGTCTATCTGATCCCATTGCTAACATAAATTATTTTAACCAGAAAATGTGTTTTTCCTTTCAAAATTAGTAAAGTAAAAAAGACTGACTAACCATCTTTTCTTTAGTGTAGAGTCAATGAAAAGAAACAACAGAATATTGTTTAGTGATTTAAAAGGACTTAGTATATTTTAGAGATTTAAAAGTACTCAGGGACCATGAAACTCGACCTCATACTACAAACAAGAAAAATGACTGACATCCAATCAGGCATGGTGGCTCATGCCTATAATCCCAGCACTTTGGGAGGACGAGGCTAGATGATCACTTCAGGTTTACGGTTTAAGACCAGTCTGGGCAAAAGAGTGAGTCTCCAACTCTACAAAAAACAGCCAGGCAAAGTGGCGCACACCTGTAGTCGAAACTGTTTGGCAGGCTGGGTAGGAAGGATCCCTTGAGCCCATGAGTTCAAGTTTACAGTGAGCTATAATTGCACAACTGCACTCCAGCCTGGGTGGAGTCTTTTCTTTTAAGACCTTGTCTTAAAAGAAAAAATGACTGACATCCAGTTCTCTTATTTGGACAATGTTCATTTAGTTTGATCAGGAATGCAATAAAGGAGGAAACTCCAATACCTGAATTAATATCCACTAAACCAAATTTTTCTTTCAGTCTCTCAGGAATAAAAAGTTAACACTGATTTTCTGGCTGCTTAATGAAATTCAAGCAATGCAAAGCATGTTGTGGGAAACATGTATTAAAAATATTAGTGAGTAACTTCAGGATTTAATTTGGGTTAACTGAGTTCTGTAATACTGAGCAATTGTGATACTACCTGGTCACTTACCAGTGAAAAGCAGAATAGTGTTAAGGGATGGGGCTGGTTAAGAAAATCAAGCTCATGAACAACAATGTATCTAATCACTTAGGAAATATTTTAGACAACAAAAGGAATAAAACATGCACTCAGAGATATGATACTGCAGTGTGTTCTAATATTCCAAAAAAGAGGAAATTCAGTTAAGTAACAAACAACAGTGACAACGTATTTTAATAGAGTATAAACACTGGGTACATTTATCTCACTATGTAATGGTTAATCTCCAAAACATCTCAAATGTATCATTTGTATACCTCCAGGTAATATTTAAAGAATGGGAAGTTGTAAACCACAGATGTAATACTAAGTTTATATTACATCTATTCCTACTTTTGGGGAAGATCAATTTTGCTTTAACCATAATTTTTATTATCTGTAGCCTCCTTTATCCCATATTACTGCAGGTAATCAACTAACTATATTTCACTTAAGATCCCAACACCATTGAGAAAATACTTGTTTTGTGTTTTGAAACAGGGTCTCCGTTAGTCACTCAGGCTGGAGTACAGTAGTGCCAACATAGCTAACTGCAGCCTCAACCTCCTGGGCTTCAGTGATCCTCCACCTCAGCCTCACCAGTAAATAGCTGGGACTTCAGAGGCGCCATCATGTTCAACTGTTTTTTTAATTTTTTTGTAGAGATGGGTTTCGCCATGTTGCCCATGCTGGTCTTGAACTTCTGGGCTCAAGTTTTCCTCTTGCCGCAGCCTCCTCCAGCCTCTACCTCCCCAGTACAATTTGTACCACATTAATTTTGCTTTAACCATAATTTTTAGGATCTATAGCCTTCTTTATCCCATATTACTCCAGGTAATCAATAATTAACTGCAATCCCCAAGTGTTGGGATTATAGGCATGAGGTAGTGTGCCCATCCAATAACTGATATTTAAGTATATTCATTATAGTCTTTTCTCACCTCTTCTACCAGATGATCTTGCTCTTTTTGAAATGCATCACTTATTTTAGTTGGCAGAGACCCTCCAAAGGCACTACTCTCTGTATTCTTTGCAATATCTGACAATGGAGAATTTTCCACTTCAAATTCTGGTATTTTCTTAGAAATTGCTTCCTTCTTTTCTTTGGGAGTTCTCATCTTTGTGTCCTGAAAAAGATAGATATGTAATGTTAAACCCTTAATGATCACGGCTGATCTTCAAGCTTTCTTCATTAGCAGTTTACTGGTTATCATGAACCTATAAAAGGTTGTTAATATTATTGTGAAATTGTATGTCACTGGCAGAATTAACTAATTCCAGTATTCTCACTTAGCAATAAGAAATGCATAAGCAGCCGGGTGCGGTGGCTCAAGCCTGTAATCCCAGCACTTTGGGAGGCCGAGGTGGGTGGATCACGAGGTCAAAAGATCGAGACCATCCTGGTCAACATGGTGAAACCCCGTCTCTACTAAAAACACAAAAAACTAGCTGGGCGTGGTGGTGCGTGCCTGTAATCTCAGCTACTCAGGAGGCTGAGACAGGAGAATTGCCTGAACCCAGGAGGCGGAGGTTGCGGTGAGCTGAGATCGCGCCATTGCACTCCAGCCTGGGTAACAAGAGCGAAACTCCGTCTCAAAACAAATAAAAATTTAAAAAATTTTAAAAAATGCATAAGCAGAAGTGGCATAAACTGTACAAATACTAGAAAATGTAAAAACAAAAATTAAATGTAACTGTGGTATCAACAAAAATAAATAATATTTTATAATTTAGTATGGTCACAATTAATTGAGAATTATTTTAAAATATACCTTTTCAAGTAGTGTAACATTGTTCTTATCTGATGGCAAAACTGACTGCAACAAGAAAGAGGCAGGGCTAAAAGGAAAAAAGACAACAAATTCAAGTTATAAGGAGGAAGGAATTCCATTCCCTTTACAAGTCTGACTATTCTAAAAAAACTGTCTGCCCCGTATCTGTCCGTTACGATTTCACTCAATTCGTCCCGGTCATCAAAAGGCAGTTAGTTTATTCTAGGGAGGCATGGTGACAAGTAGAGCAGTATTTCAGCCCAATTTGTGTATCAGCCTCCCAATTATGAAGACTTTACTTACCACATACCAAGACAACAGTATTTTCATTTGAAAGGGTTAAATGACTTAATGTTAACACTCCAAAACTTGAACACAGGTTAAAAACAGATTCGATTAACTAGAATTGCATTATTACAATGTCACAGAATCCAAATCACAGTTTCTTTGTAGCAAACTTTTTTTTTCTGAGATGGAGTTTTGCTCTTGTTGCCCAGGCTGGAGTGCAATGGCGTGATTTCATCTCACCGCAACCTCCGCCTCTTGGGTTCAAGCTATTCTCCTGCCTCAGCCTCTTGAGTAGCTAGGATTACAGACATGCACCACCAAGCCCGGCTAATTTTCTATTTTTAGTAGAGACGGGGTTTCTCCACATTGGCCAAGCTGGTCTCGAACTTCAGACCTCAGGTGGTCCGCCTGCCTGGGCCTCCCAAAGTGCTGGGATTACAGGCATCAGCCACCATGCCCGGCCCAGCCAGAGGCTTATTTTTAAGATTCTTTTGGGCCGGGCACAGTGGCTCAAGCCTGTAATCCCAGCACTTTGGGAGGCTGAGGCAGGTGGATCACAAGGGCAAGAGATCGAGACCATCCTGGTCAACATGGTGAAACCCTGTCTCTACTAAAAATACAAAAAAATTAGCTGGGCATGGTGACGTGTGCCTGTAATCCCAGCTACTCAGGAGGCTGAGGCAGGAGAATTGCCTGAACCCAGGAGGCGGAGGTTGTGGTGAGCCGAGATCGCGCCACTGCACTCCGGCCTGGGTAATGAGAGCAAAACTCCGTCTCAAAAAAAAAAAAGATTCTTTTGAAGATTCATGTCCAAAATCATATGCTAAATTTTGCTCTGTAGCAAATATGTTACATGTCACAGTAACATCATAAGGTTAGAGTTTTTGTTTGCCACATTGTATTTCTTAATATTTTATATTCCCTTGCCCTTTTGGTTAAATATTAAAACTTTATGCATCTTTTCATGCTAATTGTAAAATATTATTAAATTTTAAAATCTTCAAAGAAATGGTAACTTTTTTACTTTGATCTTTTTTTTTTTTTTTTTTGAGACGGAGTTTTGCTCTTGTTACCCAGGCTGGAGTGCAATGGTGCAATCTCGGCTCACCGCAACCTCCGCCTCCTGGGTTCAGGCAATTCTCCTGCCTCAGCCTCCTGAGTGGCTGGGATTACAGGCACACGCCACCATGCCCAGCTAATTTTTAGTATTTTTAGTAGAGACGGGGTTTCACCATGTTGACCAGGATGGTCTCGATCTCTTGATCTCATGATCCACCCGCCTCGGCCTCCCAAAGTGCTGGGATTACAGGCTTGAGCCACGGCGCCTGGCCACTTTGATCTTTAAAAACCTTTAAAATGCAAAAACCTGAAGTTTTTTTACTCTAGTTAATACAACAGACAGGATTACCACCAAGACCACTTTCAACAGCATGTTGGTGCTTTCCTGTCTTCTTATAACTAGAAGTACAAAATTAATAGCATTGCATATCATAGTAAATATAATTTTCAAACTTTTTCAAACATGCACTCTTATAATCTTTGCCTATCCAAACCTAATTCAAAATCACTGCAATTGCTCAAGCTTCAACTTAGCATTGACAAGATATGATCCAGATATCAAAGGCAAAGTCTTGATCATCTACTAGATTTTGGGGGAAATTGTACATTAAAATTATCAAAAAGCCCCCTGAAACAGAGCCAGCAATCTATGGACCAATGCCACTAAGACGCCACCACTGCAAGAAGATAAGTACAAAGGCTATGTCTTTCCCTAAGCCTATTCCCAGGGGCTAACACAGTGGTTGGTAGTGTAATACATACATGTTAACTGTTTGATGGACCGATGGAATCGATGAGTAAATGCCACTTGAGAATGGGGTTCTAAAGGTGACAAGTGTTTCCATTTGAATGATTCTTGTGGAACCTTATAGCAGAGAACAATGGAAACATTCTATACCCTCCCATCTCTCATTTCTGAACTGGTAATATGCTATTAAACCTGTTAACATTACAATCTAAGACAACTTTAAAGCAGCCCTGGCTCAGTCTTTATCCTCCTGCCATGCCAAGATTGAGGCCCATGAAATCCTAGCACTGTAACAAAATAGAAGAAAGGACAGTGATCGAATTGTGGAAATTTATCCTAATAGAGTTTAAAAAAAAAAAAAAAAAAAGGGACATACCTTTTATAGTAGTAAAAAAATAAAAATGAGAGGAAATTAAGTATGAAAATAAATGTAGTGTTACAACGCTATTATCAATGAAAATTGGTGAATGTTATTTAGACATACAGACAGCCAAGAAAAAAAACCACAACTGTTTATACTATGTTAATGTTTTAAAATTTTGTACTTTAGGCTGGGCGCGGTGGCTCAAACCTGTAATCCCAGCACTTTGGGAGGCTGAGGCGGGTGGATCATGAAGTCAAGAGATCGAGACCATCCTGGTCAACATGGTGAAACCCCATCTCTACTAAAAATACAAAAAATTAGCTGGGCGTGGTTGTGCGTGCCTATAATCCCAGCTACTCGGAAAGCTGAGGCAGGAGAATTGCCTGAACCCAGGAGGAGGTGGTTGCCGTGAGCCAAGATTGTGCCATTGCACTCCAGCCTGGGTAACAAGAGCGAAACTCAGTCTCAAAAAAAAAAAAAAAATTGTACTTTAGAATTTTGCATTTTTAAATTTGTATTTAGATTGTATCCATGCTTTGATTAGAGCTATTTTATTTTTCTTTTGAGACAGACTCTTACTGTATTGTCCAGGCTGGAGTGCAGTGGCAGGATCCCAGCTCACTGCACCCTCCACCTCCTGGGTTCAATGGGTTCAAGCAATTCTCCTGCCTCAGCCTCCTGAGTGGCTGGGACTATAGGCACCCACCAGCACACTTGGCTAATTTTTGTAGTTTTAGTAGAGACAGGGTTTCGCCATGTTGGCCAGGCTGGTCTTGAACTCCTGACCTCAGGTGATCTGCCTGCTTCAACATCCCAAAGTGCTAGGATTACAGGCGTGAGCCACTCTGCCCGGCTAGAGCTAAATATATATATGATGATATACAAGGCATAGGTAAGAACTTGGGGGAAAAAAGGTTACAAGTGATTCCTCAGAAATTTTAACGAATTATTTCTCATTTTTATTTGCTGTTGTTGTTATATCAATAATTAGGAGAAAAAAATAGGAACTATAAAAAGGAAAAGATGTAAGACTAGAATTCAATTTCTAACACAAATGATGTTTAGATGACATGTATGCAAGATCACACTGCCCTTCTTATCTTTGAAACATGGTATAGGAGAAAACACAGAAGTCAGATGTCTAGAACAACAGCATTGTTACCATTAGAAATATCATAGAACACCCACACACACACAAAGCCACTGCAAAGATAATGCTCAGAGTATACACAAAAGGCATCACCAATTGCTGAAATCTGGTTTTAAGCATAACGCAGCCTCCATGAGCTCAGTCTGATTGGAACCAGAAATGAAAGCCAGGCACAGCGGCTCACATCTGAAATCCCAGCATTTTGGGAAGCTGACATGGGAGGATCACTTGAGCTCAGAAGTTTGAGACCAACCTGGGCAACATAGAGAGACCTCATCTCTACAAAAAAAATTTTTTAATTAGCTAGGTGTGGAGGCGCATGCCTATACTCCTAGCTACTTGGGTAGCTAAGGCGGGAGGATCACTTGAGCCCAGGAGGTCAAGGCTGCGGTGAGCTGTGATTGCACCACTGTACTCCTGCCTGGGTGGCAGGGCAAGACCCCTCTCAAAAAAAAAGCCAGCAATGAGATTTATGGAAAAGACTACATATCTTTTGGTATCCGTGAATGACAACTGCATGTGATAGGGCCAGTAACACTGCCTAAAAACTACATTCTTTCCATGTTTAACTGAATAGTTATATTGATCATATTCACATATGAATTTCCCAGTTAACTATATTATTAATGATATAAAATAGTGTAACTGCTGAACTACATGCAAAAAAGGTATTATTTTCTTTCATAAGTACAGACCATCTGTATTACATATTACTGATGGAACATTTAACTACATATACCTTTAACAAAGAAGAATTTTGAGCAGACTACTTCCACATCCCAGTAACTTAGCTTTTCACAGGCCTTCTGTTCTATTCCACTATCTAGCAATAATAATCTTTCACATCTCATTAAGCACTGATCCCTTATCACCAGGCCTTCCCCTACCTCCTGTCAGTATCTCAAATCCATAATTAAAATAATCAGGAGTTTATAATAAAAGATCCAGGAGCTTTGAAGAAGACAGATGTAGAAATCAAAGTATATTTAATATAGCTTCTTTCTCCTATATTATGAGTTTCCTTTTGAACTATATTCTTAGGAGTGGCATTTCTAGCTCCTATAGAATTTTTTTTTTTTTTTGGAGATAGAGTCTTGCTCTGTTGCCAGGCTGGAGTGCAATGGCACAATCTTGGCTCGCTGCAACCTCCGACTCCTGAGTTCAAGCGATTCTTCCATCTCAGCCTCCCAAGTAGCTGGGACCACAAGCACATGCCAGCACACCTGGCTAATTTTTGTTATTTTTAGTAGAGACCAGGTTTCACCATGTTGGCCAGGATGGTCTCGATCTCCTAACCTCGTGATCCACCCACCTCAGCCTCCCAGAATGCTAGGATTACAGGCGTGAGCCACCACGCCTGGCCTCCTACAGAATTCTGATAGTGTATCTTGGCACAAAATTCTTCAAAACAAATAATCTTTTTTTTTTTTTTCTCAGATGGAGTTTTGCTCTTGTTGTCCTGGCAGAAGTGCAATGGTGCAACCTCACCTCACTGCAACCTCCACCTCCAAGTTCAAGCAATTCTCCTCTCAGCCTCCCAAGTAGCTGGGATTACAGGCATGCGCCACCACACCAGCTAATTTTTTATATTTGTAGTAGAGACGGAATTTCACCATGTTGGTCAGGCTGGTCTCGAACTCCTGACCTCAGGTGAGCCACCCACCTTGGCCTCCCAAAGTGCTGGGATTACAGGCACGTAACTGGCCCTCCCCTCAAAAATAAGAATCTTGAGGTTTAACGGAGTTCATAAATAAAATCTGCTATATGTATTAATCTAGTATCGCCATGAATATTTAGTCCAGCAAAATACCTTAATCAAAATATTTAATTTGCGGCCGGGCGCGGTGGCTCAAGCCTGTAATCCCAGCACTTTGGGAGGCCGAGGCGGGTGGATCACGAGGTCAAGAGATCGAGACCATCCTGGTCAACATAGTGAAACCCCGTCTCTACTAAAAATACAAAAAATTAGCTGGGCATGGTGACACGTGCCTGTAATCCCAGCTACTCAGGAGGCTGAGGCAGGAGAATTGCCTGAACCCAGGGGGCGGAGGTTGCGGTGAGCTGAGATCGCGCCATTGCACTCCAGCCTGGGTAACAGGAGCGAAACTCCGTCTCAAAAAAAAAAAAAAAAAAAAAAAAAAAATATTTAATTTGCTCTCTCAAGGGAAGACAAACCAAAAACGTAATTGAGTTTGGGAAGCACCAACCATACCCTCCCCCAGCCTGCCATAAAAACAATTGTAATATGAGTGTAAAATACATAGGCCAGTAACTTTACTGTCTCTTCAATGCCAGGTCCTCACAGAAGATTTCATTATTTTTTCTTTAGGAACTCAAAAAACTAACATCAAATCCAGGTAAGACTAAAAACATAGTTCTTCCACAACTAGTCCTGACTGCTGTGAACTGGAAGATTACTGCAGAACTACCAGTAACTCAATTTCACAAAAACAGTTTTGACTCTGGTTATAGTGTTACAGCTTATTAACTTACTAAGAGTATATAGAATGATGAGTGCTTCAATTCAATTAAAATTTAGGATTTTCTTTTATAATTTTCCTAAGTATTATTTTCATCTGTCTCTCATCTACTTAAGGAAGTAGGAATGAAAGACACCTATTTAGGTTAAAAAAAAAATAAAAAATAAAAAACTAATAAAGTTTGTGTTTGATTGCTACTTAATAATGTTTAATTTCAATAAAGAATATGCTCCCCCAATCAGATTACATACATATAGTTCACAGATTTTTTTTTTTTTTTTGCCTATATAATCTGTAATCTGTCCAAAATGTGTTAATAGAGGGGGGGAAAGGCAATAAAGAAAACAGGAATATTACCGAAAGAAGTTAGAACAAAGTTCAGTTTTTTCATATGTTAAATCCGGGGGTTACAGTAAATCAGAAGTTCTCCAAATTTTTTTTAAGCATGGAACTCTTATCAAATACTTTACCAAACACCCCAATACATAATATATATAAAAGAGCAAGTTGCCCAGGCTAAAGTGAGAAAGAGTTGGACCAGTCACAGGCTATGCTAGATTCATCCACAGTAAAAAATAGCATTAAAGGATACAGCCTGAAATCTGGACAAGATTACCTCAAAAGCCCCCAAACATTTGGACTTGTCAATAGAGTGGCTTCAAAACAGTTCACACACATAAAAAGGCACAAACTCCCAAACTTGCATTAGATAATTTCCAAATAATCCCAATGAAACCCAGTATTTAGATAAACAATAGAAGGGAAAAAAACTCCCATGTACCATAAATGTTGGACCTTTTCTGAAAATGTGGGTCTATGGTACAAAAATACCGTCTGGCTAAAGGGCAAAATCAGCTTGGCACAGTGGCTCACATCTATAATCGCAGCACGTTGGGAGGCCAAGGTGGGCAGATCGCCTGCAATCAGGAGTTTGAGACCAGCCTGGCCAACATGGTAGAACTCCGTCTCTACTAAAAATACAAAAATTAGCTGAGCATGGTGGTGGGTGCTTATAATCCCAGCTACTTGAGAGGTAGCTTGAACCCAGGAGAAGAACTGCTTGAACCCAAGAGGCAGAGGTTGCAGTGAGCCACGATTGCACCATTGCACCCCAGCCTGGGCAACAAGAGCAGGCTCCATCTTATTCATTCATTCATTCACTCATAAACAAACAAACAAACTGGGCAAAATTATGCATTATTCCAGAGTAAGTTTGAAAACTGGTTTAAGATGGAAATAAAATTAATATAGGAAAAATATCAATATAAAAATCAAATTTGGGCCAGGCACAGGGGGTCAGGACCATAATTCCAACACTTAGGAAGGCTGAAGCAGGAGGATCTCTTGAGGCCAAGAGTTAAAGACTAGCCTCTGCAACCTAGAAAGACCAAACCTTTTGTTTTTTCTTTTCGTTCAGACAGGGTCTTGCTAGTCCTAGACTGGTCTAGAACTCCTGGGCTCAAGCAATCATCCTACCTTGGCCTCCCAAAGTACTGGGATTACAGGAGTAAGCCACTGCACCCAGTTTCATCTCTATTTTTTATAAAATAAAAAATTTTTAAATGTTTAACAAAATAAAATCAAATTTGTTTTACCTGTTGGCTAGATCATGTAGAGCTCCCAAGGTATCACTGTCTCCTCTACAACCATTTTCTTGATTATGTTGCTTATGTGTATCTGAAGAAATTTAAAAATTGATTACTCTTTATGTTTATACATTCCGTTTTTTTTTTTTTTTTTGAGACGGAGTTTCACTCTTGTTACCCAGGCTGGAGTGCAATGGCGTGATCTCGGCTCATCGCAACCTCTGCCTCCTGGGTTCAAGCAGTTCTCCTGCCTCAGCTTCCTGAGTAGCTGGGATTACAGGCGTGCACCACGATGCCCAGCTCATTTTCTGTATTTTTAGTAGAGACGGAGTTTCACCATGTTGACCAGGATGGTCTCGATCTCTTGACCTCGTGATCCACCCGCCTCGGCCTCCCAAAGTGCTGGGATTACAGGCTTGAGCCACCGTGCCTGGCTTATGTTTGTACATTCTAATATTCAAGGATCTCTTGAAATTCTAGAACAACTTCTATATAGAAGAAAACCAAAAAAAATCAAAATAATATGCACACTAATAGGAAAAGATAGTTTTCTATTGAAAAGTGTAAAGTAATGAGCAGAAAAGTTATAATATCCAGCTTTTATAAAAGAAATGATGGCTAATACTAAAACAAGTTTCTCAAAGAGTAAGAATCCATAATTCCCCAGTGTTATATGCTTCATGTTTATATACACAGATCATGCTATTATTAAAAAAAAACAGCAAGGCCAAAAAGTTACAATGTTAGCATATTTCAGTGCACATTTATGACATCAGTCAACCTATATATTTTTCAACCTATGACTGAATAACTGAATAATTACATGCTACTACCATGCTAATGATGGAAAAGAAATAAAAGATGGAGACCATGCCTTCAAAGAGTCAGTCTAGGAAATGATAGTGATGAGTCAAGTGTTATGTTATACTTCTACAGTACTATGACAGAAGTATACACAGAATTTAACGAGGCAGAGGAGAGACATCCAGCCCAGACTGGGGATGGGAAGAAGGCATGAAGGTACTGAAAGAATGACGTAAGTTGCTATGCTGAAGCACAGGGTATATCCAATGGAAGCATGCTGGGAAATAGGATTGGTGAAGAAAGCCATGGCTGGATTACAGAAGATCTGACAGTCCAAGAGCTCAACCTTTTTCAACATGTTACCTTCTGAAAGGCTTTCCCCGTTTTTATATGTCCAAAGTGAAACCAGAAGCCACAATGAAAGAAGATGACACCATAAAAAACAGGCAGTTATAGAAAAGAAGTAAGGCTTACAGAGGTAAAAAGTATGTACCTAGCCGGGCGCGATGGCTCAAGCCTATAATCCCAGCACTTTGGGAGGCCGAGGCGGGTGGGTCACGAGGTCGAGAGATCGAGACCATCCTGGTCAACATGGTGAAACCCCGTCTCTACTAAAAATACAAAAAACTAGCTGGGCGTGGTGGCGCGTGCCTATAATCCGAGCTACTTAGGAGGCTGAGGCAGGAGAATTGCCTGAGCCCAGGAGGCGGAGGTTGTGGTGAGCCGAGATCGCGCCATCGCACTCCAGCCTGGGTAACAAGAGCGAAATTCCGTCTCAAAAAAAAAAAAAAAAGTATGTACCTATGACTAGTAACTACTAAACAGACCAAAAAGCAGATGAAACATAACTGAAAGATAATCAGTGAGTTATAAGGGAGATCTAAAGAAAATACCTAGAAAGAAGCCATGAGATACAAAACAATTATAAATATAAATGAGAAGTTAAAAGAAATGAAAGACAGAAGTCCCAACAATAGGAGTTTTGGAAGGAAAGTATCAAAAGAATAAGAGACAAAGTAATATTATAAGAGATATTGGTGAATACATTTCTAAAACTAAAGAAAGAGCTTTCAGAATAAATAAGCACACACAAACCACAAATAGGCAAATCCTTTTTTCTCTGTGTTTTTTTTTTTTGTGAGACAGGGTCTTGTTTTGTCACCCAGGCTGAGAGCAGTAGCACAATCATGGCTCACTGCAGCCTCAACTTCCTGGGCTCAAACCATCCTCCCACCTCAGCCTCCCAAGTAAATGGGACCACAGGTTTGTGACACCATGCCCAGCTAATTTTTTGTATTTTTTTGTAGAGACAGGATCTCACTATATTGCTCAGGTTGGTCTCCCAGGCTCAAGTAATCCTTCTGCCTCAGCCTCCCAAAGTACTGGGATTACAGGCATGAGCCACCATGCCCAGCCAAAGAAAAACCTTAAAAGCAACCAGAAATCAAAAATTAACTAACTACAAATGGGCTGAGCCCAGTGGCTCATGCCTGTAATCCCAGCACTTTGGGAGGCCAAGGCAGGCAGATCACACGAGGTCAGGAGTTTGAGACCAGCCTTGCCAACATGGTAAAACTCCATCTTTACTAAAAATATACAAATTAGCCGGGCGCAGTGGCTCAAGCCTGTAATCCCAGCACTTTGGGAGGCCGAGGCGGGTGGATCACGAGGTCGAGAGATTGAGACCATCCTGGTCAACATGGTGAAACCCCGTCTCTACTAAAAATACAAAAAATTAGCTGGGCATGGTGGCGCATGCCTGTAATCCCAGCCACTCAGGAGGCTGAGGCAGGAGAATTGCCTGAACCCAGGAGGCGGAGGTTGCGGTGAGCCGAGATCGCGCCATTGCACTCCAGAGCCTGGGTAACAAGAGTGAAACTCCGTCTCAAAAAAAAAAAAAAAAAAAATATATATATATATATATATATATATATATATATAAATATAAATTAGCCAGGCATGGTGGCACACACCTGTAATCCCAGCTACTTGGAAGCCTGACATAGGGGAAGCATTTGAATCGCGGAGGCAGAGGTTGCAGTGAGCGGAGACTGTGCTCTTCCACTCCAGCCTGGGAAACAATAGCAAAACTCCCTCTCAAAAAAAAAATTATGAATGGGCCGGACGCAGTGGTTTATGCCTGCAATCCCAGCACTTTGAAAGGCCAAGGCGGGCAGATCACTTGAGGTCAGCAGTTCAAGACCAGCCTGGTCAACGTGGTGAAGCCCCGTGTCTATTAAAAATACAAAAATATGCAGGGTATGGTGGTGCACACCTGGAATCCCAGCTACACGGTTAGCTCAGGCAGAACTGCTTGAACCGGGGAGGCAAAGGTTGTAGTGAGCTGAGATCACACCATTATACTCCAGCATGGGTGACAGACACTCTGCCTCAAAAAAAAAACAAAAAAAAAACACACCTAACTAACTACAAATCAATGACAATTAGACCAAGAGCAAATAGCCTCAGAAACAACAAAAAACAATGAGATCCTATCATCGAAGTCCAAAAGAGAAGTAAGTGTCAACCTAGAATTCTATATCCAACCAAACTATCATTCAAAAATGAGTGAAAATGAAGACATTTTCACAGAAAGACTGAGAATTTTACTATTCAGAGTCCAAGAATTAAGTATATGCTTTGAGATACACTTCTCAAAAGGAGAAAAACAAAAGAATAGACCAAAAAAAGTCATTAATCATGTTGGCCAATTTAAACAAAGTAAACAGGAAGAACAATTTCTATCAATGTCATTCAAAAAAAGGAGAGGCATTATTCTACAATAAAAGTTACTAAGAGAATAAAACAATCACATGTAATGAACTAACCTTCCTTGGATCCTGGTTTGAAAAATACAAACATTAACAAGGGACCTTTTGGAATATTGTAAGAAAAATATTACGTTTTTACTTACAAAATATTGTAAGTAAAAAAAAATTTATAAATTTTAAAAAAGAGAAAGAAAAATGTTACGTATAGTTTATAAGCCTATATTAGTAATAAAATTATTTTATAAACATAATCAGAACAAAGATTAGATTCAGAATAGTGAAATCAGTAAGGAAGTTGAAGAAAGGTGGACATCCAAGAATTAACTACATATGTACATTTTTTAAAAATCTAAAGTGAAGATTGCAAAACTTTGCCAAAAAGTGGTGTTTAATAAACAAGTATGTATATTATTCTCTGTACTTTTCAATATGCTAAAATATAATTTTTAAAAACATTTTTAATCTTTTCTTTTTTGTTTTTTTTTTTTGAGATGGAGTTTTGCTCTTGTTGCCCAGGCTGGAGTGCAGCAGCACAATCTTGGCTCACTACAACCTCCACCTCCCAGGTTCAAGTGATTCTCCTGCCTCAGCCTCCCAAGTAGCTGGAATTACAGGCATGCACCACCATGCCTGGCTAATTTTGTATTTTTAGTAGAGACGGGGTTTCGCCATGTTGGACAGGCTAGTTTCGAACTCCTGACCACAAGTGATCCGCCCACCTCAGTCTCCCAAAGTGCTGGGATTACAGGCATGAGCCACCGCGCCCAGTCTTAAAAACATTTTTAAAATAAATTACGATGCAGTATGTAAGGTACAGAAGGCGGAAAAGGTTGTTTTACCACAAAAAATATAAAATAATGTTTAAGTACCCCAGCTCAGATCAAGGTTCTATACTAGGAAAGAAAAAAGGACTCCCAAGAGTATAACTTCTAACTGGACTTCCTAAACAGATACATTTTCCCTCAGTATAAAAGTAAGTAAAGAAACCTCCAAATGGACATGAGAATTCCATGGATTCAAAGTGGTAAACTAAGCCCGGCAGGAGTGCAAAAGCCCTTTCCCAGCTGAAACAAAAACATAAAAACACAATGCCAAGAGCTCTGTTGACTAGGGGATCTGAAAAAAAAAAGAGAAAGAGAGAAATAATAACTCAAAAATAAAATCAAAAAAGATAAAAACAAAATGAAGACCTATCAGAAGAATTCTATCATAATTAAGAACTGTCCAAAGCTACCATGGAACCAGAATGCTGTATCTGAAGCTCTTCCTCGTTTATCAAACCATGCAGCCCTTTATTTTTTTTAAAAGCAGAGTCTCTTGTGCTCACTTTAGCTGTACATATACTAAAATTGGAACAATACAGAGATTAGCGTGGCCCCTGAGCGTGGATAAAACTAATTTTTAATTTTAAAAAAATTTTTAAGTTAAAATTTAAGAAAAAGAGAGAGAGATGGGTTCTCACTCTTGCCCAGGCAGGAGCGTTGTACAGTGGAGCAGTTATAGCTCCCTGCAGCCTTGAACTCCTGGGCTCAAATGATCCTCCCACCTCAGCCTCCTGAAAAACTAGGACTAGAGGCACACACCACCAAGTCTTGCTAATTTTTTATTTTTTGTAGAAAGTAGGTCTCACTATGTTTTCCAGGCCGGTCTCGAACTCCTGGGCTTAAGCAATCTTCCCGCCTCAGCTTCCCAAAGTGCTGGAATTATAGGTATAAGTCATTATGCCCAGCCCCATGCAGACTTTTTTCTATGTTGTCTTGTCTGGTTGTACCTAAACTGAGCCTTGCTCTCTGGTCTACATTTTTTTCCAACCAGTGTACTCTCCAAATATACCTGACTCTCAAACCAATTACCTATCCCAGTGATTAAGTCCTGTGCTAACTGCTGTCATGACCTTTCACATGACTGAACTATAGCCTACAACTATTACCTCCTCCAATTTAGCTATATAATTTGTTTTTCATTCATTCATTCCTTCAATTATCTATCCTCTATTTACTGAACATAATTAAAATGTCTGTACACAAGTACCATGCAACTGAGCAAAATGAATATTAAATATTGTGAAAATTATTTTAGGTGTGATAATAGTATGATAGTTATTTAGGAAAATGTACTCATTTTTATGAAAATGTATGCTGAAACACTGAGTGAAGTGTCACAGTATCTAGAACTTACTTGGTTTAGCATATACACCCAAACACATAAAGCAAATACGGTCAATGTTAATTGTTGAAATGGGGGTAGATATTTGGGTTAATTATTGTACTATTCTTTTATGTTAAAAAAAATTGTGAGCTTCTACAAAAAAACCTGTACAGATATTTATAGCAGCATTACTCATAACAGCCAAGTGAAAACAACCCAAATGTTCATCAACAGATGAATGAATAAACAAAATGTGATAAAAGCATACAATGGCATGTATTCATAAAAAGGAATGCAATACTGACTGATATGTGCTACAACTTAGATGAACTTTGAAAACATTATCCTAAGTGAAAGAAGCCAGTCACAAAGTCTATATGTTATATGATTCCATCCATATGAAAATCCAGACAGGGAGCTCTAGAGACAGAAAATATCTTCATAATTGCTTTGAACTGGAGAAGCGAAGAGGGATTTACGGGTGGTAACTAAAGGGTAAGAGCTTTCTTTTAAAGGGTAAGAGCTTTCTTTTCGAGGTGATGAAAATGTTTACAATTGTGATGATGGTTGCACGTTATTTGTGAATTTAGCAAAAACCAAGAAAACTATACATTTTCAATAGGTAAATTATATGCGAATTATATCTGAACAGATATGATTTTTAAAAATTGAAGGATAATACATGCTACAAGATGTATAAAACTTGAAAATACTGTACATGTGGTGCCTCATGCCTATAATCCCAGCATTTTGGAAGGCCAAGAAAGGAAGATTGCTTGAAATCAGTTTGAGAAAACATTGTGCAAAATTAAAAACAGTGTAAGTGAAAGAAGCCAGAAACAAAAGGCCTCATACTGTATGACTTCATTTATATGAAATATCCAGAACAGGCAAATCCAGAGATAAGTATTTTACTCAGCCAGGCACACCTGTAATCCCAGCATTTGGGGAGGCCGAGGCAGGCAGATCATTTGAGGTCAGGAGCTCAAGACCAGCCTGGCGAACACAGTGAAACCCTGTCTCTACTAAAAATACAAAAAAAATTAACCTGGTATAGTGGCATATGCCTGTAATCCCAGCTACTCGGGAGGCTGAGGCACGAGAATTGCTTGAACCCAAGGCAGAGGTTGCAGCAAGCTGAGATTGTGCCACTGTACTCCAGCCTGGGCGACAGAGCAAGACTCCATCTCAAAAACGAAAAAAAAACAAGTACATTACTGGCTGCCAGGGACTAGAGGGAAAATGAAACTGACTGTTTAATGGGTTAGGAGGTTTTCTTTGAGATGATGAAAATAATCTGGGAGCTGGGCTCAGTGGCTCATGCCTTTAATCCCAGCACTGTGAGAGGCTGAGACAGATCAATCATTTGAGCCCAGGAGTTCGAGACCAGCCTGGGCAACATGGTAAAATCCCATCTCTACTACAACAACAACAAACACACACATGCACACACGCGCGCGCGCACACACACACGCATGCACAAAAATTAGCTGGGTGTGGTGGCACACACCTACACTCCCAGCTACACGACAGGCTGAGCTGGGCGAATCACCTGAGCCTGGGGTGGTCAAGGCTACAGTGAGCTGTGATTGTGCCACTGTACTCCAGCTTGGGCAAAAGAGTGAGACCCTGTCTCCAAAAAAAAAAAAAAAAGGTTCTGGAACCAGAAAGTGATAATGATTGCACAACGCTGTAAATATACTAAATGCCACTGAGTTATATACTTTGCAATAACTGAAATAGTGAATTTTATGTTACATGCATTTCACCACAATTAAAAAAAATTGAGAAAAAAAAGACAAAGAATATAAATATTATCATAATGGAAAAGAATGACAAGAAGGAGGTTTAAAAGAGAAAAAGGTAAATAACCAACCTGGAAGTGAAGCAGGATACTGACAAAGAATACTCTTTGCATACACTTCTTCTGAGGCAGGATCAAATGAAAGGGGAGACATTGGTGGTAAAAGATCTACAGACTTAAAACAGAAATTCACAATTTTGAAGTAAACATATTTGCTAACTACAATAACAATGCTGAGTTAATCTATAAATAGATCATTTTCTCCCTAAAACAAACAGAATTACTAAGCATATATCAGATAACTTTATCGTCTATCCATCCATCTATCTATCTATCTATCTATCTATCTATCTATCTATCTATCTGTCTATCTGTCTGTCTCAGAGACAGGTTCTTACTCCCTCATCCAGGCTGAGTGCAGTGGCATTATCATAGCTCACTGCAGCCTCAATCTCCTGAACTTAAGCAATCCTCCCACCTCAGCCTCTCGAGTAGCTAGGCCTACAGGGACACACCATAACACCCAGTTTTGGGGGGGGTTTTTTGGTAGAGTTGGGGTCTCACTATGTTGTCCAGGCTGTTCTCCAATTCCTGGCCTCAAATGATCTTCCTGCCTCAGCTTCCCAAAACAGAGATTACATGTGTGAGAGCCACCACACCCAGCCCTGTAAAGCATTTTTAAAGCAGAGTATTAGGAGCAAGAGAGATTACTTAGTCCCTGAATTTCTCAAATGTCATAGTACGTCACATCAAGAGGAGTCCTGCTTTCTGACTGGGTATAACAGCTCACGCCTGTAATCCCAGCACTTTGGGAGGCAGATGTGGGTGGATTACCTGAAGTCAAGCATTCAAGACCAGCCTGGCCAACATGGTGAAACCCCATCTCTATTAAAAATACAAAATTAGGCCGGGCGCGGTGGCTCAAGCCTGTAATCCCAGCACTTTGGGAGGCCGAGGCGAGTGGATCACAAGGTCAAGAGATCAAGACCATCCTGGTCAACATGGTGAAACCCCGTCTCTACTAAAAATAAAAAAGATTAGCTGGGCATGGTGGCGCATGCCTGTAATCCCAGCTACTCAGGAGGCTGAGGCAGGAGAACTGCCTGAACCCAGGAGGCGGAGGTTGCAGTGAGCCGAGATTGCGCCATTGCACTCCAGCCTGGGTAACAAGAGCGAAACTCCGTCTCAAAAACAAAAAAAAAACAAAATTAGCCAGGCATGGTAGCACATGCCTGTAATCCCATCTACCCAGGAGGCTAAGGCAAAAGAACCGCTTGAACCCTGGGTAGCTGCCATGAGCTGAGATCACACCATTGCACTCTAGCCCGAGCAACAAGAGTGAAACTCCGTTTCAAAAAAAAAAAAAGAAAAAGAAAAATTATAGCATACATGTGAACTTTAGACTCAAATGCAAAGATGACATACATACATTTCCAGGTCATTCATAACACAATAAATTCACAAATTACCATATATCAAACTATTCTCCAAAAGACCAACTGGCTGAGTGCAGTGGCTCATGCCTGTAATCCCACCATGCTGGGGAGGCTGAGGCAGGAAGATCACTTGAGCCCAGGAGTTTAAGACCAGCCTTGGCAATACAGGGAGACCTTGTCCATAAAATTAAATAAAAAATTAGCCAGGCTTGATGGTGCATACTTATAGTCCCAGCTACTCCAAAGGTTGAGGTAAGAGGACTGCTTGAGCCCAGAAGTTCAAGGTTACAACAAGTTATAATCATGCCACTATATTCCAGCCAGCTATGATCATGCCACCGTACTCCAGCCAACTATGATAGTGCCACTCCATTCTAGCCAGCTATAATCATGCCACTCTACTCCAACCTGGGCAACAGAGCAAGACACCAACCCAAAAAAAAAAAAAAGGTGGGCAGGGGGGCAGGGGCAAGTCAGTATTACTTACTGGAGTCCAACTTTTAATTAGACTGAAAGGAGACAAACCAAGAAATTCTTTCCACTTTTTATGCCATTCTCCCTGCTTTTCAACAACAGAATGTCTTATAGTTGTGAGATCATCTTTTATTCTATACCTATAATAGAAAAAAAAAACTTTATTCAAAATATGAAGAAACAAAAAAAGCACTGAGTAAAATTTAAGAAAATAACAATAGCTGTAGAGAAGTGAAAGGAAAGAGAACTGCAAGTTCAATCAAGATACCACATACATATTAAATAAACTCTCACAGGTGAATATTCAGAACCTAAAATACCTCTCTCATTTTTTGTTTTTTGAGATGAAGTCTCACCCTGTCACCCAAGCTGAAGTGCAATGGTGTGATCTCGGCTCACAGCAAGCTCTGCCTCCCAAGTTCAAGCGATTCTCCTACCTCAGCCTCCAGAGTAGCTGGGATTACAGGCATGTGCCGCCACCACACCTGGATAATATTATGTATCTTTAGTAGAAATGGGGTTTCACCATGTTGGCCAGGCTGGACTTGAACTCCTGACCTCGAGATCCACCTGCCTTGACCTCTCAAAATGCTAAGATTACAGGGGTGAGCCACAGCGTGCAACCACTTTCTCTTTTTAAGACCAGAAAGCAGGCCGGAAGCAGTGTCTCACATCTGTAATCCCAGTACTTTGGGAGGTCAAGGTGGGCAGATCACCTGAGATTAGGAGTTCAAGATCAGCCTGGCCAACCTAGTGAAACCTCGTCTCTACTAAAAATATAAGAATTAGCTAGCCTTGGGCATGGTGACGCGTGCCTGTAATCCCAGCTACTCAGGAGGCTGAGGCAGAATAGCCTGAACTCCGGAGGCAGAGGTTGCGGTGAGCCAAGATCACGCCATTGCACTCCAGCCTGAGTAACAAGAGTGAAACTCCGTCTCGAAAAAAAAAAAAAAAAAAAAAATTAGCTAGGCTTGGTGGTGGGTGCCTGTAATTCCAGCTACTCAGAAGGCTGAGGCAGGAGAGAATCACTTGAACTCAGGAGGTGGAGGTTGCAATGAGCCGAGATTGCACCATTGCACTCCATACACTCCAGCCTGGGAAACAAGAGTAAAACTCCACCTCAAAAAAAGTAAAATATTGGCCAGGCACAATGGCTCATGCCTGTAATCCAGCACTTTGGGAAGCCAAGGTGGGCCACAAGGTCAGGAGTTCAATACGGTGACCAATACGGTGAAACCTCGTCTCTACTAAAAATACAAAAACAATTAGATGGGTGTGCTGGCGTGCGCCTATAGTCCCAGATATTTGGAAGGCTGAGGCAGGAGAATCACTTGAATCCGGAAGGCAGAGGTTGCAGTGAGCCGAGATCGTGCCAATGCACTCCAGCCTGGGTGACAGAATGAGACTCCGTCTCAAACAAAATAAAACAAATAAAACTAAAAATTTAAATTAAAATTTAAAACAATTTTTTTTAAGTCAGGGTGCAGTGGCTCATGCCTATAATCCCAGCACTTTGGGAGTCTGAGGTGGGTGGATCACGAGGTCAGGAGTTCAAGACCAGCCTGGCCAAGATGGTGAAATCCTGTCTCTTAAAAAAACAAACACACACACACACACACACACACACAAAAGCAGTAATATATCACTCCATTTATTTATTTATTTATTCATTCATTCATTTATTTTTGAGACAGAGTCCCGCTCTGTCACTCACCCAGGATGGCATGCAGTGGTGTGATCTCGGCTCACTGAAACCTCCGCTTCCTGGGTTCAGGCAATTTCCTGCCTCAGCCTCCTGAGTAGCTGGGATTACAGGCATCCACCACCATGCCTTGCTAATTTTTGTATTTTTAGTAGAGATGAGGTTTCACCATATTGGCCAGACTGGTCTCTATCTCTCGACATGAGGTGATCACTGGCCTTGGCCTCCCAAAGTGCCGGAATGAGAGGCATGAGCCACCACACGCGGCGACTCCATTATTTTTAAAATAGAATTTTTCTCCTAGCTCTAAACTTGAGTAGGGTAGGACTTTCACTCCCACTCTTTGTCACTCCAACTCTATCCATTCATAGAAGCAGCCCCATTTTCTATTCTTTCTGCTCAATTAAAAAACTTTTCAGCCAGGCACGGTGGCTCACGCCTGTAATCCCAACACTTTGGGAGGCCAAGGCGGGTGGGTCACGGGGTCAGAAGTTCAAGACCAGCCTGACCAACATGGTGAAACCCTGTCTCTATTGCAAATACAAAAATTAGTTGGGCATGGTGACACATGCCTGTAATCCAAGCTACTCAGGAGGTTGAGGCAGTAAAACTACTTGAACGGGGATCCAGGAGGCAGAGGTTGCAGTGAGCCAGGATTGTGCCACTGCACTCCAGCCTGGGCTACAAAGCAAGACTTCACCTCAAAAGAAAAAATACTTTTCTAAAGCCTCGTTTAATGATTAGACCCAACGAAAGGAAACTACAGAAAAGCTAAAATTATTTCATAAAAAGTTATCATTCAAAGCAAATCATTTATTCCATTAATTTTCCTTTTCCTTTCTGCTTCATGTGTATCTCCAGGAGTTGATTATGTAAGGTTTTTGAGTAGCAGTAGAATTCTCACACTTATATGCCAAAGCTGAAGAGCTACTAAAGTTATACAAGATCTTTGCTGAGAAAACCACCCTACTCCTCCCACAGTAAAATAGCGGATCTTTCTTGTGTACCTCATATGCTTCAGATCTGATAATCTTTCCTTCTGAAATTTGGTCTCTTTTTCAAGGTAGTGAAGGTCTACTGTCAATCCTGCTTGGTCAGACTGACAACTTTCGTATTTCATTACTTTCAAGACTTCATTCAATAACTGAATAACTGTTAAGAGGTTTAATTTTCCAGCCTCATAAACATTTCCTATGTGCAACTAAAAAATCAGGAGGAGAAAAAAGTAGTGAACTATAAGTTGTTCCAATAATAAACTATTACATAAATATATTTAGGCTTTTTATGATTAAAGTTTACCTTAAAAAGGAGAGGAAAAAAAAATCAAATATCCCCAAACATAAAATGACTTAAATTTAATTTTGGTCCAATGAAAACTACTGTGAAAGAACTAACAAGCCCTGCTACATTTTTGTATTATGTAAAAGGTTGAAAACTAGAATAAAAGAAATGTTAGCCAGGCGCAGTGGCTCACGCCTATAAGCCCAGCACTTTCAAAGCCCAAGGAGGGTGGATCACCTGAGGTCAGGAGTTCGAGACCAGCCTGGCCAACATGGTGAAACTTGGTCTCTACTAAAAATACAAAAATTAACCGGGCATGGTGGCCAGTGCCTGTAATCCCAGCTATTCAAGAGGCTGAGACAGAAGAACTGCTTGAACCTGGGAGGTGGAGGCTGCAGTCAGCTGTGATGGCACCACTGCACTCCAGCCTGGGCAACAAAGAGCGAAACTCCATCTCAAAAAAAAACAGAAAAGAAAGAAATGTTAATAGATGGAGAGAAAAATAAAGATTGAGCAGAAAGAACAGGGTTGGTGAAAAGATCATAAATTCCTATTTTAACAGAAGTTACAAGTCAACGACCCCTAAAACCTGTGTCTGTACTTAAACGTGTTTCTTTGGCTTGCACAGTTCTGTATTTTAAAATTATTTAAATTAGTTGCCAATTTTTTTCTTTTTGGGACAGAGTCCCATTCTGTCACTCAGGCTGGGTGCAGTGGCTCGATCTTGGCTCCCTGCAACCTCCAACTCCAGCATTCAAGTAATCCTCCCACCTCAGCCTCCCAAGTAGCTGGGACTATACACATACACCACCATGTCTGGCTAATTTTTGTATTTTAGTAGAGATGGGGTTTCACCATGTTGGCCAAGCTGGTCTCGAACTCCAGACCTCAAGTGATCTGACCACCTCAGCCTCCCTAAGTGTTGCTATTGATTACAGGTGTGAATCACCATGCCCAACTAATTTCCAACATTTTTTAAATCATAGATTTCACACAAAAATTATGGGCCAGGCACAGTGGTTCACATAATCCCAGCACTTTGGGAGGCTGAGGCAGGAGGATTATTTGAGGTCAGGAGTTTGAAACCAGCCTGGCCAACATGGTGAAACCCTGTGTCTACTAAAAATACAAAAATGAGCCAGGCATGGCACTGCATGCCTATAATTCCAGCTACTTGGGAGGCTGAGGCAGGAGAATCACTTGAACCTGGGAGGTGGAGATTTCAGTGAGCTGAGATCTCACACTACACTCCAGCCAGGGCAACAGAGCAAGACTCTGTCACACAAAAAAAATCATGGTAATAATTCTCTTTTTATTTTTTACTGTCTATCTCAGGAAAACACCGTTTTAGGCAGTAATTTTCTCTGAAGACCTCATCACTTCCTACTTTCCCTCTACTGTAACATATAATTACTATTACTCTTCAGAGAGTCACAACAATATTTTATCTTTGCATCTACCCAGTATATAGTAGATGCTTGATGAACTGTGTTTTCTAAGAAAACAAAAAGGTAAGATGTCCAGATAATGTTCCATAAGCAAGTGGAAATAATTGGATAGAGTTTGGATTGACGAGGAGAGACTGTTGAAGTCACAAAATTGGTAAGAAAAATCAAATAAATTTATAATGAGGGAAAGAATAAGAGGGCATTAAAAGAACCATGGAGAACATTATTTTAAAAGTTATGTAGAAAAAAAGGAACCAAGCCGGGCGCAGTGATTCACACCTGTAATCCCAGCACTTTGGGAGGCTGAGGCGGATGGATCACTCGAGGTCAGGAGTTCGAGACCTACCTGGCTAACACAGTGAAATCCCGTCTCTACTTAAAATACAAAAATTAGCCAGGCATGGTGGCACACACCTGTAATCCCAGCTACTTGGAAGGCTTAGGCAGGAGAATGACTTGAACCAAGGAGGGAGAGATTACACTGAGCCAAGGTCATGCCACTGTACTCCAGCCTGGGCAACAGAGTGACTCTGTCTCAAAAAAAAAAGAAAAAAAAGAAACGAGTAAAAAATAGCAGCAATCTGAAAGACTACAGAAAAGCAGAGACACTGAGGTCACAAAGCTAAAGGAAGAAGACTTTACAAGCAACACTTAACAGCATCAAGATAAAACAGAAGCCAGGGGATCGATACTTTTTAAAAGGACATTTGGCAACTATCATCTGCCTACTAGGCAACCTCATACTCTCTACACTGTATGATGCAGTGCTGTACAGGTATGGGGCAATTAATAAAAGTCAATACGTATAAATATACACATCTTTAACAGTATCTCTCTTTATGAAAGTTTTACTAAATATGCTTACAGAAATAAATTCTGAAAGCAGAAGAACATTGCAAGAAAATAAATAACAACAGGGCAGGAGTTTTCTCAAAAGGTTCCTTACTATCAAATGCTTACCTGAAACATTTGTTTCTCAATTTTGTCAAGTAAGAGCCTTGGAATATTAATAGCAACATTAGTTCCATCTAAAGCATATTGGTTAACAAGACTAAGAACCGAACTAACAATTTCTCTCTCTTTTTCCAAAAACGTGAGTGTTTCATTCACTGAAGACCACAAAGACCGAACCTTTGAAAACAGAAACAAAATATTAAAGTCCACACATAATCTATACATATATTTTAAAACTGTAAATATATGTTCACTCTTAGTAACAAATTTCCTAGAATGATTTCTAGTAAGAAAATTAAGTAATTATATTTTAATAGTTTTTAAAAACTGGTATTACTTCCAAAGAGACTTTTAAAAAAATATATCAGGAGAATCGAGCTCACTATAATTTTCAAACAAATCTAAGAATTTTTTTTTTTTTTTAAGAGATGGGGTGTTGCTATGTTGCCCAGGCCAGAATCAATCTCCTAGGCTCAAGCAACCCTCCCACATCAGCCTCCCAAATAGCTGGGACTACAGGCACGCACCACTGCACCCAGCTCCATATCTAAGAAACTTTATACCACCAAGAGACAATTCACATTTTCTTTTTTTCTTTTTTTTTGAGACAGAGTTTCGCTCTTGTTGCCCAGACTGGAGTGCAATGGCGTGATCTCAGCTCAACCACAACCTCCGCCTCCCCAGGTTCAAGCCATTCTCTGACCTCAGCCTCCCAAGTAGCTGGGATTACAGGCATGCGCCATCACACGCAGCTAATTTTGTATTTTTAGTAGATACGGGGTTTCTCCTGTTGGTCAGGCTGGTCTTCAACTTCCCACCACAAGCGATCCACCTGCCTCGGCCTCCCAAAGTGCTGGGATTACAGGCATTAGCCACCACACCCAATTAGCATTTTCTTTTTTTTTTTTTTTTTTTTTTTTTTTGAGACGGAGTTTCGCTCTTGTTACCCAGGCTGGAGTGCAATGGCGCGATCTCGGCTCACCACAACCTCTGCCTCCTGGGTTCAGGCAGTTCTCCTGCCTCAGCCTCCTGAGTAGCTGGGATTACAGGCATTCACCACCATACCCAGCTAATTTTTTGTATTTTTAGTAGAGACGGGGTTTCACCATGTTGACCAGGATGGTCTCGATCTGTCAACCTCGTGATCCACCCGCCTCGGCCTCCCAAAGTCCTGGGATTACAGGCTCGAGCCACCGCGCCCGGCCGCAGCATTTTCTATATGTGATATGTAATCAGTCTAATGACAATCATTCAGGGAGAAATAATTTTTAAAATTTTTCAAGAGAAAAAAACTACTACATCTCAATTTTAAGTAACTCAGTTTGAGGAAAGTTAAAGTGTGAAAAATTACGCCTCATTAAAAGCAAAAAAATCTTAGGCATACACTAACCTATATTCATTAAAATTTATGTACAAGAACACTTAGGCAGGCACAGAGGCGCATACCTACAATCCCAGCTACTCAAAAGACTGAGGCAGGAGGATCCCTTAAGCCCAGGATCCTTGCAAAAAAAAAAAAAAAAAAAAAATATATATATATATATATATATATATATATATATATGTTCATAGAATGTCTATTTGTAATAATGAAAAAGTAGAAACAACCCAAAGGTCCATCTAGAATAAAAAGGGCACATTGGTGCTATATTCATAAAATAGAACACTACACAACAATGAGAATAAACACTACAATTACAAACAACAGCATAGATAAATATCATAAACAATGTTGAGTCAAAGTCAGACACAAAAGAATATATTCTATATAGTCCCATTTATATAAAGTTCAAAAACAGGCAAAACTAATCTTTAGTGTAAGAGATGGACAGTGTTTCCCCATGGGAGGAAACAGTTCAAGGATTCTAGGGTGCTGGTAACATTCTATTTCTTAAACAATATTGATTGCATGAACGTGTTCACTTTGTAAAAATTTGTCAAGATATACACTTTTGATTTACACATTTTTTGGATATATGTTATGCTTTAATCGAATTTACAAAAGAGGGAGGGAGGTGGGGAAATATGATTATTATACACATGTTCTTCCCTGCATGATACAAATACAATATTAAATATCTCTAATTAGTTCACTTTTTTTCTTTCCCATTTTTTTTGAAACAGGGTCTCACTCTGTCACCCAAGCTGGAGTGCAGTGACACAATCTCAGCTCACTGCGACCTCTGCCTCCCAGGTTCAAGTGACTCTCATGCCTCAGCCACCCAAGTAGCTGGGACTACAGGCAAGCGCCCCCAGACCTGGCTATAAGAGTCCGACAGATTCAGCAAACACTGCATATCACAGAATTTAAGAAGATTAAATGTCTCCTTTCAAAAGTTGTCTCACCTTTTGAATTTTTTCTTCTATATTACTGTGGTCATCACAGGGTTCCATTCTAATAAAAATTAAATAATTAGTCATATGAAAAAAATCACATGGTAATTTAATATCCAAAGAGCTAATTAGTCTGCAACCCACCCACCAACAACTACTCCAACAAAAAATAAAATTTAATCTGAAACCAATAATAATTTATTAGAAGAACTAGACTAGAAGTCATAACTATGTTCTATCCTATCATCATCTGACTATTGATATATTATTTTAATTAATGTTTGTGGGACTCTGTTTCCTCACCTGTAAAATGCAAGAGCTAAGTTAGTATCTAAGACAACTTCTAGCTCTAAAAGTCACTTACTTCTTTATTTGGTTTTCCAGTCCTACACATTCAGATCTCAAGTTTCGTACATGCTTAACTGATAATCTGCAAGAAAACACACAAAATGACAACTATAATATCATTACAATTAATTAGTATAGCCCACTTCTCTATTTTCCCTTTGCTTATCTTTGCTCAAGGCCTCTGGGTACAGCCACCAGTAAGCTAAAGGACTCTAGACTCTCTTTAACTATCATACAAGTGATCCAACACACAGGCTCCTACTGAGCTGCACCTAGGATTCATAGGTTAGTGTATCTTCTCTAATTACAATGATGGGGGTTAGTAAGAAGGACTCTGCTCTTATCCTCATCTCACATACCCAGGGGATAAATTTAAATATTCTCTAATACAGTCAGACAACATTTCAATTAATTTCAAAGGATTCTATAGCTTTAGTAACAGACAACAAAGCATTCTACAAAGTTACCCTATCCCTGTATTTTGGGAGGCTGGGGCAGGAAAATTGCTACAGGCCAGGAGTTTAAGACCAGCCTGGTTACAAAGCAAGACCCTGTCTCTACAAAAAAAATTAAAAACGAGCTGGGTGTGGTAGCACAGGCCTATACTCCCAGCTACTCAAAAGCTAAGGTAAGAAGATCACTTGAGCCCAGGAGATCAAGGCTGCAGTAAGCCGTGATTGTGCCACTGCACTCTAGTCTAGCTAAGCAACAGAGTAAGACCCTGTCTCTAAAAAATTTTTTTTAATTAAAAAAAAAGTATATACAACTTATACTTTGAGAGTAACAGCCTTGTCGATTTTAATTCTGTAATACCAATATTTAAACAATATGACACTTAGAAGAAACTCCAAGAAAAAAAGATATGCTAAATAGATGAACCTAAATATAAAACAGATTAAGTGGTTAAAAAAAATTATGGACTAACTACCTGAAAGAATATCTACTTAATGAAATATCCACTGATCAGACTAATAGACATTAAAAGTAATACACTGGCCAGGCTCATACCTATAATCCCAGCACTATGGGAGGCTGACGCAAGCTGATCACCTGAGGTCAGGAGTTTGAGACCAGCCTGGCCAACATGGCAAAATCCCTTCTCTACTAAAAATACAAAAATTATTAGCTAGGCAAGGTGACAGGTGCCTGTAATCCCTGCTACTCAGGGGGCTGAGGCAGGAAAATCACTTGAACCCAGGAGGTGGAGGTTGCAGTGAGCTGAGATCACGACACTGCACTCCAACCTGGGCAACAGAATGAGACTGTCTCAAAAAAAAAAAAAAAAAAGTAATTCACTATGGCAATATGGAAAAATTTACAAAATAAAATATCAAGACAAAAAGGACACAAAATAAACACTACAATTACAACTTTAAAATATATTTCCCTATTTTACAAAGCACATATGAAAAATTAACTTTTTAAACTAAAGTGGGCGGACACAAATGGCTCATGCCTGTAATCCCAGCACTTTGGGAAGCCAAGGCAGGTGGATCGCTTGAGGTCAGGAGTTCGAGACCAGCATGGCCAACATGGCAAAACCCTAATGATACTATAAACAGAAAAAAAAAAATAGCGGGACATGGTAGCAGGTGCCTGTAAACCAAGCTACTCGGGAGGCTGGAGCAGGAGAATCCTCTGAACCCAGAACGTGGAGGTTGCAGTGAGCCAAGATCACACCACTGCACTCAAGCCTGAGTAATGAGCAAGACTCCACCTCAAAACAAATAAATAAACCAACGTGATCTTTTCCTTTTCTCTAAACTTATATTTATAGTGTACCTGAAGTTTTTTTTTTTTTTGAGACGGAGTTTCGCTCTTGTTACCCAGGCTGGAGTACAATGGCACAATCTCGGCTCACTGCAACCTCCGCCTCCCGGGTTCAGGCAATTCTCCTGCCTCAGCCTCCTGAGTAGCTGGGATTACAGGCACACACCACCATGCCCAGCTAATTTTTTGTATTTTTAGTAGAGATGGGGTTTCACCATGTTGACCAGGATGGTCTTGATCTCTTGACCTTGTGATCCACCCGCCTCAGCCTCCCAAAGTGCTGGGATTACAGGCTTGAGCCACCACGCCAGGCCTAGTTTTAATTTTTTTTTTTTTTTTTTTTTTTTTGAGACGGAGTTTCACTCTTGTTACCCAGGCTGGAGTGCGATGGCGTGATCTCGGCTCACCGCAACCTCCGCCTCTTGGGTTCAGGCAATTCTCCTGCCTCAGCCTCCTGAGTAGTTGGGGTTACAGGCACATACCACCATGCCCAGTTAATTTTTTGTATTTTTAGTAGAGACGGGGTTTCACCATGTTGACCAGGATGGTCTCGATCTCTTGACCTCGTGATCCACCTGCCTCTGCCTCCCAAAGTGCTGGGATTACAGGCGTGAGCCACCGCGCCCGGCCTTTTAAAAATATTTTATGCCGAAGTTATCTGACTATGTCCAGGCACAGTAGCCCATGCCTGTGATCCCAGCACTTTGGGAAGCTGAGGCAGGTAGACTGCTGGAGCTCCAAAGTTTGAGATCAGCTTGGACAACATGGTGAAACCTCATCTCTACTAAAAATACAAAATTAGCTGGGCACGGTGGCCTGCGCCTGTAATCTCAGCTACTCTGGAGGCTGAGGTGGGAGGATGACTTAAGCCTAGGAAGCAGAGGTTGCGGTGAGCCGACATCACGCCACTGCATTCTAGCCTGGGAGTCTGGGTGACAGAGCCAGATCCCGTGTCAGATAGGAAAAAAAAAGAAAAAGACAGAAAAACAAATAAGCTCACTCATTCAAAAAAAAGAGAGAGAGACCACACACTGTGGCTCACGCCTGTAATATCCCAGCACTTTGGGAGGCCAAGATGGGCAGATTACCTGAGGTCAGGAGTTTGAGACCAGCCTGACCAACGTGGTGAAACCCCATCTCTACAAAAAATACAAAATTAGCAGGCTAGATCATGACACTGCATTCCAGCCTGTGCAGCGAAAGCAAAAGTCCATCTCAAAAAAAAAAAAGAAGTTATCTGACTTTAAAAGGCAAAGATAATTGCCAGGGTTTTGAGGTAGGCATGAATTATTTCTACTGAAGTTATATTAGTGACATTTGTTCAAAAGAAAGAAATTATTTTCTAACTATGAAGGTACTACTTACTGTGCATTTTCCTGATATTTTTGGGTAACACAATCTTCTCTTTGTAAAATTTGTAAAAATCTGCTACGTGCTAAATGGCATCTGGCAATGCATTTGTTCAAGTCCTGTGGTTTTAAGTTAAATGTCTCTGCAAAATGATGAGAAGAATCTACACAGAACACAAATAAGATTATAGAAAACAGGCTGGTCTCATAGTAGCAGGTTATCAGAATTTAACATTAGTATCATTTAAGTTGGTATACAATCTCCCACTAAATTTGATTGACTTTTTTAAAAAAGAAAAGAAAAACACACCTACAAGCTAATAAATACCAAAAATGTTGAACTTTAATATTAAGAAACCAACATCATGTAACTAACAACTCGCCAAAAGCCAGTATACTACTAATATATAACAATACAACTGGCCGGGCGCGGTGGCTCAAGCCTGTAACCCCAGCACTTTGGGAGGCCGAGGCGGGTGGATCACGAGGTAAAGAGATCGAGATCATCCTGGTCAACATGCTGAAACCATGCCTCTACTAAAAATACAAAAAGACATGGTGAAACCATGTCTCTACTAAAAATACAAAAAATTAGCTGGGCATGGTGGCGCGTGCCTGTAATCCCAGCTACTCAGGAGGCTGAGGCAGGAGAATTGCCTGAACCCAGGAGGCGGAGGTTGCAATGAGCAGAGATCACGCCATTGCACTCCAGCCTGGGTAACAAGAGCAAAACTCCGTCTCAAAAAAAAAAAAAAAATACAACTAATGTTTTGTTTTGGTTTTGGGTTGTTTTCTTGAGACAGGGTCTTGCTCTCTTGCCCAGGCTGGAGGGCAGTGGCACAAGCATAGCTCACTGCAGCTTCAACCTTCTGAGTTCAAGGATCCCCTCACCTTGGCCTCCCGAGTAGCTGGGACTACAAGCACATGTCACCATGCCCATCTAGTTCTTTTTTATTATCTTTTGTAGAGACTGATGCTCAAGGTGTTGCCCAGGCGAGTCTTTTTTTTTTTTTTTTTGAGACGGAGTTTCACTCTTGTTACCCAGGCTGGAATGCAATGGCGTGATCTCGGCTCACCACAACCTCTGCCTCCTGGGTTCAGGCAATTCTCCTGTCTCAGCCTCCTGAGTAGCTGGGATTACAGGCACGCACCACCATGCCCAGCTAATTTTTTTGTATTTTTGGATGGTCTCGATCTCTTGACCTTGTGATCCACCCACCTCGGCCTCCCAAGGTGCTGGGATTACAGGTCACCACACCTAGCCTGATACAACTAATGTTAAGAAAAGTAAGATGACTTCTTTTTTTTTTTGCATGGAGTCTTGCTCTGTCACCAGGCTGAAGTGTAGTGGCACGATCTTGGCTCACTGCATCACTGCAAACTCTGCCTCCTGGATTCAAGCAATCCTCCTGCCTCAGCCTCCCGAGTAGCTGGGACTACAGGCATGCCACCAAGCCCAGCTAATTTGTGTATTTTCAGTAGAGATGGGGTTTCACCATGTTGGCCAAGTTGTCTTGAACTCCTGACCTCAGGTGATCCACCCACCTCGGCTTCTAAAAGTAGTGGGATCACAGGCGTGAGCCACAACTCCCAGCCAAAATGACCTTTTTATAAAGTAGGCAACTATAAATGATTTCTAAAGGTGAGTTATTTTATTTTATTTTATTTATTTTTTTGAAACAGAATCTCATTCTGTTGCCCAGGCTGGAATGCAGTGATGCAATCTGAGCTCACTCCAAACTCCGCCTCCCAGGTTCAAACGATTCTCCTGCCTCAGCCACCTGAGTAGCTCGGACTACAGGCGCATGCCATCACACCCAGCTAATTTTTGTATTTTTGGCAGAGATAGGTTTTCACCACGTTAGCCATCTCTTGACCTCATGATCTGCCCACCTTGGCCTTCCAAAGTGCTGCGATTATAGGTGTGAGTCACTGAGCCCAGTCCAAGGTGAGTTATTTTACACACTTAAAAATTTTCAGTCCATCTACCTAAAAAAATTCTTACTATAATCTGAGATATCTATAAATAAATGCAGTATTTATAGATACCTCAAATTACAGTAAGAGCTACTTTGCTTCCAAACAGAATCTTTTAACAAAAGAATAAAGTCAATATAAAAAAGTGGGAGGAGATCACATCATCTCCTTTGCTGCCATCAGTTTACTTTTCCTCCTAGTAAGACCAAAAGGACAAGATAACCAAATAAAACCATTGTTCATTTCATAAGCAATTCTTCACTGTATTACTAATAACCAAAGTAGAACTGAGAACAACCTACCTAAACTTTTCAGTTAGGTTTTTACCTGTGATAAATGTAGTAACTCCTAACAACAAAAATTTGAGTATTTTGAGACAAGGGCACGAGCATCGGATAGTTACAGCCATGCCTTTCTTGGATGTGCAGAAAAGGTTTGGCATTAACGTAGATCGGTGGTGGACAATCCAAAGTGCTGAACAGCCCTACAAGTTTCCTGCTTGATGCCATGCTTTTGAAAAAGAATGGATAGAATGTGCACATGGAATCAGTATTACCCAGGCAAAGAAAGCGTGCAAGATAGAATATGATGATTTCATAGAGTGTTTACTTCGGAGAAAAACGATGAAACGCGTGGATACCATCTGGAGGCAACGGGAAAAACTGATGAAGGAAGGGAAGTACACCCCTCCACCTCACCACACGGGCAAGGGGGACCCTCAGCCCTGAGCAGACATAGCTACTAATATCTGGAGGCCGATTTTCATGTTCTCTGTTCTCCACTGAAAAGGTTGTTTATGGAAAACCTCCTTGTCAAAGTGTGTAAAAATAAAGTATTGCTTCATCCTATTTCTTCTATTAAAAAAAAAAAATTTGCCGGGCGCGGTGGCTCAAGCCTGTAATCCCAGAACTTTGGGAGGCCGAGGCGGGTGGATCACGAGGTCAAGAGATCGAGACCATCCTGGTCAACATGGTGAAACCCCGTCTCTACTAAAAATACAAAAAATTAGCTGGGCATGGTGGCGTGTGCCTGTAATCCCAGCTACTCAGGAGGCTGAGGCAGGAGAATTGCCTGAACCCAGGAGGCGGAGGTTGCGGTGAGCCGAGATCGCGCCATTGCACTCCAGCCTGGGTAACAAGAGCGAAACTCCGCGTCAAAAAAAAAAAAAAATTTGAGTATTCTGAGGCCGGGCGTGGTGGCTCAAGCCCGTAATCCCAACCCTTTGGGAGGCCAAGGCGGGTGGATCATCTGAGGTCAGGAGTTCAAGACCAGCCTGACCAACATGATGAAACCGCATCTCTATTTAAAAAATAAAAATTAATTAAAAATTAATATAAAATTTTTTAAATGGCTGGGCGTGGTGGCTCACGCCTGTAATCTAAGTACTTTGGAAGCCAAGGCAGGTGGATCACCTGAGATCGGGAGTTCAAGACCAGCCTGATCAACATGGTGAAATCCTGTCTTTATTAAAAAAAAAAATAAAGGGCTGGGCACGGTGGCTCAAGCCTGTAATCCCAGCACTTTGGGAGGCCGAGGCGGGTGGATCATGAGGTCGAGAGATCGAGACCATCCTGGTCAACATGGTGAAACCCTGTCTCTACTAAAAATACAAAAAATTAACTGGGCATGGTGGCGCGTGCCTGTAATCCCAGCTACTCGGGAAGCTGAGGAAGGAGAATTGCCTGAGCCCAGGAGGCGGAGGTTGTGGTGAGCCAAGATCGCGCCACTGCACTCCAGCCTGGGTAACAAGAGCTAAACTTCATCTCAAATAAATAAATAAATAAATAAATAAATAAATAAATAAAAATAAATAAAAATTAAAAAAATTTGAGTATTCTGAAAATCAGGGAATTCCACACTGCATTTAACGATGCTTATCCAGGTCCCAGTATTGCCTCAAAGAAACCACCAGAATTTCTAAATATTTAACAGGAAATGAGTTTACTGAATTTAGAAGTTATCTAGAGACTGAACATGTTGACTGGAATTGGTTTAAATCTAGAACATATTTTATATAAAATAGTTTGTATTACATGTAATTTGGGCAGATCATCCACTAGCAGAAAAACTGTAAACATTCTTATATTACATCTATAATACCAGCACTTTGGGAGGCCAAGACAGGAGGATTACTTGAGAGCAAATCAAAACCAACCTGGGCAAAACAGAAAGACCCACCCATCCCATCCATTTAAAAATATATATATATATATTTATTTATTTATTTTTGAGGCTAAGTCTGCTCTATCAACCAGGCTGGAGTGCAGGGGCACAATTTTGGCTCACTGCAACCTCCCTCTCCCATGTTCACGCAATTCTCATGCCTCAGCCTCCCAAGTAGCTGGGATTACTGGCACTCATCACCATACCTGGGTAATTTTTGTATTTTTTAGTAGAAACAGGATTTCATCATGTTGGCCAGGCTGGTCTCAAACTCCTCACCTCAAGTGATCTGTCTGCCTCGACCTCACAAAGTGCTGGAATTACAGGCATGGAGCTACCACATCCAGTCAAAAAAAATTTTTTTTTTTAATTACAAATTGCTCCTAAACATGAAACAATTTTCAACCTCACTAATAAGAGAAATACAAATTAAAACTATACTGAGATTCCACTGTAACCTATCAAACTGAAGAGATAAAAATGTCTGATTATTTACTTGGTATGTTCTCAGGAGTTATGGGTAAAAGAAAAAAATAAAATAAATAAATAAATAAAAATGTCTGATTACATACTATGTTAATGAGCCTTTAGGAAAACAGATACTATCCATACACTAGTAATAAAAGTATCCATTCTTGCTGGGCACAGTGGCTGACACCTATAATCGCAGCACTTTACAAGGGCAAGGCAGGAAGAGTGCCTGATCACAGGAGTTCAAGACCAGCCTGGGAAATATGGTGTGACCCCTGTATTAAAAAAAAAAAAAAATTTAAAGAAAATGTTTCCCAACCCTTGTATTAGAACATGATAAAATGGCCAGGTGCAGTGGCTCATGCCTATAATCCCAACACTTTGGGAGGCCAAAGTGGGCAGACCACGAGGTCAGGAGATCTCAGATCATCCTGGCTAACACGGTGAAACCCTGTCTCTACTAAAAATATAAAAAATTAGCGGAGCATGGTGGCAGGCGCCTATACTCCCAGCTACTCAGGAGGCTGAGACAGGAGAATCACTTGAACCCGGGAAGCAGAGTTTGCAGTGAGCCAAGACGGTGCCACTCCAGCCTGGGCAAGAGAGCAAGACTCATCTCAAAAAATAATAATAAAATAAATTAATAGTAACTATGTTCGGCCGGGCGCGGTGGCTCAAGCCTGTAATCCCAGCACTTTGGGAGGCCGAGGCGGGTGGATCACGAGGTCGAGAGATCAAGACCAACCATGGTCAACATGGTGAAACCCCGTCTCTACTAAAAATACAGAAAATTAGCTGGGCATGGTGGTGCGTGCCTATAATCCCAGCTACTCAGGAGGCTGAGGCAGGAGAATTGCCTGAACCCAGGAGGTGGAGGTTGCGGTGAGCCGAGATCGCGCCATTGCACTCCAGCCTGGGTAACAAGAGCGAACTCTGTCTCAAAAAAAAAAAAAAAAAAAAAAAGTAACTATGTTCATTATGAGAAGATTGCAAAGTCCAGTTCCAGTAGAATATTAACAGTTTCCAGCCGGGCGCGGTGGCTCAAGCCTGTAATCCCAGCACTTTGGGAGGCCGAGGCGGGTGGATCACGAGGTCAAGAGATCGAGACCATCCTGTTCAACATGGTGAAACCCCGTCTCTACTAAAGGTGCAAAAAATTAACTGGGCATGGTGGCGTGTGCCTGTAATCCCAGCTACTTAGGAGGCTGAGGCAGGAGAATTGCCTGAGCCCAGGAGGCGGAGGTTGCGGTGAGCCGAGATCGCCCCATTGCACTCCAGCCTGAGTAACAAGAGCGAAACTCCGTCTCAAAAAAAAAAAAGGCCGGGCGTGGTGGCTCAAGCCTGTAATCCCAGAACTTTGGGAGGCCGAGGCGGGTGGATCACAAGGTCAAGAGATCGAGACCATCCTGGTCAACATGCTGAAACCCCGTCTCTACTAAAAATATAAAAAATTAGCTGGGCATGGTGGCACGTGCCTGTAATACCAGCTACTCAGGAGGCTGAGGCAGGAGAATTGCCTGAACCCGGGAGGCAGAGGTTGCGGTGAGCCGAAATCACGCCATTGCACTCCAGCCTGGGTAACAAGAGTGAAACTCCTCCTCAAAAAAAAAAAAAAAAAAAAAAAAAAGTTTCCTACTTGGGGTACATTAATGTTTTAACTTACTTTGCTTTTACTAAAATGTCTTCATGATTTAAAAATTGGAAAGAATAAAAATTTAAGAATCAAAACAAAAGAAACTTTTATAAATTGAACTTACTTTTAGAACTGGATTTAATATATTTCATTGCAACAAATCTTGCAAAATGATACATCAGATGAATAAACTTAGGACCACCAGGAGAAAGAAACAGTGAACCAACAACTTGAGGAAAGCTACTTCCACATTCACCCTATGAAGAAAAGAAATAAGATGATTTGAAGATATTAAGAGTAGCTCTAGGCCGGGCGCGGTGGCTCAAGCCTGTAATCCCAGCACTTTGGGAGGCCGAGACGGGTGGATCACAAGGTCAAGAGATCGAGACCATTCTGCTCAACATGGTGAAACCCCGTCTCTACTAAAAATACAAAAAATTAGCTGGGCATGGTGGCGCGTGCCTGTAATCTCAGCTACGCAGGAGGCTGAGGCAGGAGAATTGCCTGAACCCAGGAGGCGGAGGTTGCGGTGAGCCGAGATCGCGCCATTGCACTCCAGCCTGGGTAACGAGAGCGAAACTCCGTCTCAAAAAAAAAATAAAAAAAACAGTAGCTCTTACATTTACATCACACTATTATCACACTATTTTTTTAAGGGTGGGACAATCTTGCAGTAGAAGCCCCACATTTTCATGAGCACTACGCTGTAGGTTGCCATGGGGCTCCCCAGTACCTCTTCATAGCAGTGGCTTGGACATATTCAACTCTGTAGCAGAGTGCAAAGCAATCCAAGGGGGTAGGGCCCCTAGCCCACTGTCTTCTCATCATACTTTTTTTTTTTTTGCCAAGGCTAGAGTGCAATGGTTCGATCTTGGCTCACCAAAACCTTTCTCCCAGGTTCAAGCAATTCTCCTGCCTTCCTCCCCAGTAGCTGGGTATACAGGCATGTACCACAATGCCTGGCTAAAGTTGTATTTTTAGTAGGGACAGGGTTTCACCATGTTAGTAAGGCTGGTCTTGAACTCCTGACCTCCAGTGATCTGCCCTCCTCGGCCTTCCAAAGTGCTGGGCTTACAAGGTGTGAGCCACCACGCCCGGCCAGTCATCATACTATTTTTGAAGCATAAAAGAATTTGATCAGGGCTGGGTGCAGTGCCTCATGCCTGTAATCCCAGCATTTTGGGAGGCCGAAGCAGATGGATCACTAGAGGTCAGGAGTTCAAGACCAGCCTGACCAACATGGTGAAACCCAATCTCTACTAAATATACAAAAATAATCTGGGTATAGCGTTATGTGGCTGTAATTTCTTTTTTTAGAAAAAGAGCTGGGAAAGTACTTGTCTCCTTTACTGAATATCTGCAGGAGGCACCTCTGCAATGACCAGCTACTTGGGAGGCTGAGGTAGGAGAATCCCTCAAACCTGAGAGACAGACACTATAGTGAGCCAAGATTGCACCATTGCACTCTAGCCTGGGCGACAGAACAAGACTCCATCTCAGAAATAATAATAAAGAATTTGATCAGGATTATTCTGTTTAAACCACAAGTTAAATGTTTTGGCTTTTCTAAACCCTAAGTGGACCTGGTCAGAAAAAACAACTATAACAATATACCGGGCGCAGTGGCTCAAGCCTGTAATCCCAGCACTTTGGGAGGCCGAGGCGGGTGGATCACGAGGTCAAGAGATCGAGACCATCCTAGTCAACATAGTGAAACCCCGTCTCTACTAAAAATACAAAAAATTAGCTGGGCATGGTGGCGTGTGCCTGTAATCCCAGCTACTCAGGAGGCTGAGGCAGGAGAATTGCCTGAACCCAGGAGGCGGAGGTTGCGGTGAGCTGAGATCGCGCCATTGCACTCCAGCCTGGGTAACAAGAGGGAAACTCCGCCTCAAAAAAAAAAAAAAAAAACAATATAGACAATCATTGATACTACCTAGGGAAACAAACTATAATAATACATGGTTGGTTGAAAAAGTTTTCTTTAAACAGAAACTGTGCTCTAAACGCTCAAGAACTCTAAAACCTACTTTCAGTGCACCTGGCCAGCAAAGCTGGTTTCTTCAAAATACATAGATTCCCAACCAAAAACCATCAAAGAAGACTACTCTAACTAATATTTCCTTGCTTATACTGTTAGCATTAAAGCATTAAAAAGATTTCTAAAAAGTTAAAGAGTTAAAGTCGTTTTTAACTTCTTTTTTTTTTTTTTTTTTTTTTTTTGAGACGGAGTTTCACTCTTGTTACCCAGGCTGGAGTGCAATGGCGCGATCTCAGCTCACTGCAACCTCCGCCTCCTGGGCTCAGGCAATTCTCCTGCCTCAGCCTCCTAAGTAGCTGGGATTACAGGCACGCACCACCACGCCCAGCTAGTTTTTTGCATTTTTTAGTAGAGACGGGGTTGCACCATGTTGACTAGGATGGTCTCGATCTCTTGACCTCCTGATCCACCCGCCTGGGCCTCCCAAAGTGCTGGGATTACAGGCTTGAGCCACCGCGCCCGGCCCAGTTTTTAACTTCGTAAAGTCTTTATCTTCTAACAAAAAGAATACTTACAGAAATCCTTTTTATCCATTCACAGCAATGTTTTCGGAATTCAGTATCACTTTTTTGGTCAAATGGGGGCCAACAAAATCTGGAAAACAAAAATAAAGCATTAGGATTATGCACAACAATAGCAAAAAAAAAGCCAATCTCAGCAAAATTTGTTTTTTGTTTTTGTTTTTTTTTTAGAAAAAGAGCTGGGAAAGTACTTGTCTCCTTTACTGAATATCTGCAGGAGGCACCTCTGCAATGACCAGGCAGCAGAGAAGAAAGCAGGCAGGTCATGGTGGGTAGGGGAGCATGGTGCAGGAGATGCCCACCCTCATTTCCAGTCCTCGAAAAATTGCTTGAAGATGGGAGTCTCACTCACGGCCCTGGGGCAGAATCTCCACCTGAGTGGTCAGGGCATACCACATGTTCGAGGTGAAGCCCTCAGCCACTTGCAGGGCTGCCTGCCACTCCTCATTCGCTTTTCGTCCCTTCCAGATATAGATCTTGCCACAGAGCCCACTGTCCAGGACAAAGCAGTCATCAGACATCAGCAGTTCGGGGGCAAAGGGGCTGGAGTCAGCCACCTTCGTCAGGTTCATCTGTCCAGTGGCATCAGAGACCTTATACAGAGCCATGGCCTGGGCATTTGTCTGGTCAGCTGTGAGGTCTTCCTCGGGGTTGCCCTCCTTGAGAGAAGGCTTGGATCATCTCATCAGGCTCTTCCCCAACAGTGACAGTCTTCACCTGGGCTCTGCCCTGTCGCTCACTGTCCTGGATGGCCAGGGCCAGGTCTCTCGCCTTGCTGCATTCCAGGATGTTGGACTTTCCACCACACCAGGCAAAGATGTTCTGGCCCAGGTCCAGGATGAAGCAGTCCCACATGTTGAAGCTGTCCCAGCTCAGTGCCCCCTCGGTGGCATGGATGTTCTTCTCCCCTTCACCTGGTAGAGTTTCTTGACAGCAGCTGGGGCTCCTGAGGAGGTCTTGTGAAATGCTGACTCCACACCACCTTCCTGGTACTTGAGGCCCTGTGGGAAGTAGCTCATGAAGAGACTGGACCCACTGCCCTGCACCTCACGGTGCTACACAGGCCGCTCTCCCAGCAGTGTGTTGAGATGCACAGCCAGCACAGCACAGGACCCCTGCTCATGCCAGGATGACTGCTGGCCTATCCACAGATGCAGATGGGAAACCTCCTCTGGGCCAGTGTACAGCAGTAAGTAGAAGTCCCCCGAGGAGAAGAAGACACCCTGGTTCTCTCGTGCCACAGGCACTGGCTTCAGCTTCTCCACCCTCCACACATGCAGGCCTGAATCCTGCACTGAGGCTGAAAATGGAGAGCCACTCTGGGGAATGACTGCGTACATGCTGTTTTCAGATCTGCCAAGGCCTTGATCCCTTCAGCAAATTTTTTAAAACTCAAACTTATTTCCCATACCATAAATATCAACATGTGGCCAGGAGCAGTGGCTCACCCGAGATCACTTGAGGCCAGGAGTTTGAGACCAGTCTGGCCAACACGGAAAAATCCCATCTCTACTAAAAATACAAAAATTAGCTAGGCATAGTGGTACGCACCTCTAGCCTCAGCTACTTGGAAGGCTAAGGCACGAGCATTGCCTGAACCCAGCAGGTGGAGGCTGCAGTGGGTCAAGATGGCACCACTGCACTCCAGCCTTGGTGACAGACTGAGACCCTGTCTCAAAAGAAAAAAAATTAAAGCAAAATGAATTAAAGCTAACATTCTTAGATAACAGATACAGAGATACCAACCTGTGAGAAATTATTATTATTTTTTTGAGATGGGAGTCTTGCACTGTCTCCCAGGCTGGAGTCCATCTGCTCACTGAAAGTTCTGCCTCTCAGGTTCAAGTGATTATCCTGCCTCAGCCTCCCAAGTAGCTGGGATTACAGGTGCCCACCAACATGCCTAGCTAATTTTTTGTATTTTTAGTAGAGATGGGGTTTCACCATGTTGGCCAGCCTGATCTCAAACTCCTGACCTAAAATATTCTAGCCACCACAGCCTCCCAAAATGCTGGGATTACAGGCATGAGCCACCACATCTGGCTGAATTTTTTTATTTATAAATATCTATAGGACTGAGTTGTGTTTCATACAAATAACTAAAATGGATTAAATGAAAGAATGAACAGCTATTAAAATTGCTGAAAATTAGCTAAACACAACAAACTCAATGGATCCACTGGACTAGTGCATAAATATAATATTAAAAAAATAGTAAATTAAGCCTGGAAAGAAACAGTAATTTGCCAGAGAGAAACATAAACAGATACATTTGAAGAGAAGAGAAGAATTGGCATGAAATATTATGACTCCTAGAGATAATCTTTATCATACTGTGGGTGCTACTGTTTTGTGGCTAAACAACAAGACAGAAAAACATGAAAAAGAGAAGTTTTGCTACAATTTTGGTAAAAAATATTAGGATTTAAAATTTACCTTTTGCTTTCCTTTCACATTCAGTTTTTTCAAAATTTTTATTCTGAGAAATAACTATTTAAGGCCTCATACTTTTTCTATAATTATATTCAGTATTCCCAGAAAAAAAATGAGCATACATAGGGAACAAAAAGACTAAAAAGCTAGAATGTCAATAGTGATACACTCTGGCTGATGGGTTTAGAAACAACTTTTACATTCTTATTTACTTTTTTTTTTTTTTTTTTAAAGACGGTGTTTCACCATGTTGACCAGGCTTGTCTCAAACTCCTGACCTCAGGTGATCCACCTGCCTCGGCCTCCCAAAGTGCTAGAATTACAGGTGTGAGCCACCGCGCCTGGCCAATTTTTACATTTTTCTATACTTTCTGAATTACTTAAAATGAGCCATAGTGTTGATAATCAGGGAAAAAACTAAAAATCTATTTTTATTTGGACAGAAGAAATGCTATACCTTAATAATAGGTCATTCCAAAAAATAATCCAAATACACCTATTCTCTTGCATACTCAGAACTTCAAATAAAAGCAAAATATTCAAAACAGATTATCAAAAATGAAAATAATGCCCCAAGCAATAGATCTACTTGTTGATTTTCAATATAAAAGCTTGATGGCACAATATAAATATCAAAATAAATTTGAATACTTTTTTAGATAGAAGAAACACAAATCACATGTATGCAAATTAACTGAGAACTGAGACTACAGGTAGTGGGTTTTTTTTTTTTTTTTTTTTTTTTTTTTGAGACAGAGTTTCGCTCTTGTTACCCAGGCTGGAGTGCAATGGCGCGATCTCGGCTCACCGCAACCTCCGCCTCCTGGGTTCAGGCAATTCTCCTGCCTCAGTCTCCTGAGTAGCTGGGATTACAGGCACGTGCCACCATGCCCAGCTAATTTTTTGTATTTTTAGTAGAGACGGGGTTTCACTATGTTGACCAGGTTGGTCTCGATCTCTCGACCTCGTGATCCACCCGCCTCGGCCTCCCAAAGTGCTGGGATTACAGGCTTGAGCCACCGCGCCCGGCCGGTAGTGGGTTTTTACATGTTTATCTCCTTCTTAAACCATTTAATATTCAACAGCATATAACGATAGGGTAAATATAACAAGAATGATTTTTGCCTACAGCAATTGATGATTTAATATATATGTCACTGAAAAAAAAATAAGGATTTACAGAGACTCGAATAGACAAAACAACACTGCCCAGAGGCAAAGTAATAAGGTGTAGAGTACTGAACAAAAAAATAAGGCAAAATCAAGTTCATACAGATTGTTAAGTTGTTTTGCAACAATAATCTGCTTAATTATTAAGACCATGAAGAATGTTAAGAATTATATAAAATTAAAACTATGTTATTCATAAAACACACAATGATTTTAAGATATGTACCAAAGAAAAAAAACACCCAGATTTATAAAGATTAAGCATTAAATGTGTAAGACTAAATCTGAATTTTGTAATATTCATTCAAAACAATGGTCAAAGGCCAAGCTGAAATTCTGGCTTATATTAAAACGCAGTCCATTTTCAAATTTGGAAAGAAACTTAAGAAAATGAAATTATTTTTCCTTACTTGAAAACTTCTTTGGTGAGAGACTGGTCCAGTATTTGAAACAAAAAATAAGAAACTATATGAAAGGCATCACGGTTCAGCTTGTCAAACATGTTCCTAGTGGTTAAAAATGAAACAGAAGTAGGAAAAGAAAAAGAAAATAGTTAACAAACTAAACATCATCAAAAGCTGAGTTCTTACGGAGTTTGACACAAATTAATGTTTTAATTCTCTTCAGGAAGACAAGGCAAATTAATTTTTCTTATTCATGTAGATGTTATAACCAGTTAAAAACATACAAGCTTTTGTTTTCTAATTCCGAAAATGAAAATTCAATAGAAGACTGGCAGAACTTGCTTTAATGAAAACACTCTACAGAAAAGGAAGGAAAATCTAATTTGAGAGAGAATCATGCCCTATAATATAATACGAACCTACATTTACTAAATAACAGTAAATAATTAATATTTATTAAGAGTTTCCGGGCCGGGCTAGGTGGCTCACGCCTGTAATCCCAGCACTTTGGGAGGCAGAGGCAGGTGGATCACGAGGTCAAGAGATCGAGACCATCCTGGTCAACATGGTGAAACCCCGTCTCTACTAAAAATACAAAAAATTAGCTGGGCATGGTGGCGCGTGCCTGTAATCCCAGCTACTCAGGAGGCTGAGGCAGAAGAATTGTCTGAACCCAGGAGGCGGAGGTTGCAGTGAGCCGAGATCGCGCCATTGCACTCCAGCCTGGGTACCAGAGTGAAACTCTGTCTCAAAAAGAAAAAAAAAAAAAAAAAAGAGAAAAGTAATTCTGTCTTCCAGAAAGATTGATCATATTTCAAAAATCCCCCCACCTTTTTAAGCCGGGCGCGGTGGCTCAAGCCTGTAATCCCAGCACTTTGGGAGGCCGAGGCGGGTGGATCACGAGGTCGTGAGATCGAGACCATCCTGTTCAACATGGTGAAACCCCGTCTCTACTAAAAATACAAAAATTAGCTGGGTATGGTGGCGCGTGCCTGTAATCCGAGCTACTCAGGAAGCTGAGGCAGGAGAATTGCCTGAACCCAGGCGGCGGAGGTTGCGGTGAGCCGAGATCGCGCCATTGCACTCCAGCCTGGGTAACAAGAGCGAAACTCTGTCTCAAAAAAAAAAAAAAAAATTAGCTGGGCATTAGACGGAGTTTCGCTCTTGTTACCCAGGCTGGAGTGCAATGGCGCGATCTCGGCTCACCGCAACCTCCGCCGCCTGGGTTCAGGCAATTCTCCTGCCTCAGCCTCCCAAGTAGCTGGGATTACAGGCACGCCCCACCATGCCCGGCTAATTTTTTGTAGTTTTAGTAGAGACGGGGTTTCACCATGTTGACCAGGATGGTCTCGATCTCCTGACCTTGTAATCCACCCCTCGGCCTCCCAAAGTGCTGGGATTACAGGCTTGAGCCACCGCGCCCGTTTTAAAGATGAGGTTTCACCATGATGGCCAGGCTGGTCTTGAACTCCCGACCTCAGGTGATCCACCCACCTCGGCCTCCCAAAGTGCTAGGATTACAGGCGTGAGCCATGGAGCCCAGCCACACTGCATTTCAATAGAAGAAAAGGCTGGCCGACTGGTGGCACCTCTTGATTCACCTTCCTATAATATAGCAGGCGTGGTATAGGGGAACTCTCTCCAGAAGACATTGTTTTTACTTGAACAAGATCAAACCCCTAGCCCACTCCTCCACCTGGAGACCAGAACCCTTTCACATGTAAATTAAACCCAGGACCCTTTCATATGTGATTTCTAAAGGTGTAAACCCAAGATCTTTTTTTTTTTTCAGACGAAGTTTTGCCCTTGTTGCCCAGGCCGGAATGAAATGGCACCATCTCAGCTCACCGCAACCTCTGCCTCTCAGGTTAAAGCAATTCTCCTACCTCAGCGTCCGAAGACGCTGGGACTACAGGTGCGTACCACCACACCCAGCTGATTTTTGTATTTTTAGTAGAGACGGGGTTTCACCATGTTGACCAGGATGGTCTCAATCTCCTGACCTCGTGATCCGCCCGCAAAGGCCTCCCAAAGTGCTGGGATTGCGGGCATGAGCCACTGCACCTGGCCCCAAGACCCTTTCATTTGTTATTTCTAAAACTGTAAACCCAAAACTCTTTCGCTTGTAATTTCTAAGCCTGTAAACCTAAGATGCTTTCATGTGTAATATCCGGAGTGTAAGCCTATATAAAGGCAGAATTTCTCTTTGTTAGGGAGCTCCCGGCCATTTGGACAAAACATAAAGCCTTGCTCCCGGGCAGTAATAATAATACCCCTTCCTTTCTAGTAATAATAAAACCCCTTCCCTTCTAGTTCGGTGTCCAAAAGACCTGTTTCTCTCGGCCGCTCCTGCTTCAAGTTCCACCCTAGATAGCTGCAAAGGCCTTCTTCCCCTTCTATCCATTCTCTATAAGGCAACCATATGATTTTTCCAAAATGCAAACCATTGCTGGGTCACATGTTAAGTGTATGTTTAACTTTTAAGAAAAGTAGTCATACCACTACAGGGTCATAGAAACAAAAACTCATACCCTGCAAACCAAAGAGAATACATACAAATAAAATAAAAGTGAATAAAAAATAATGGTTTTTGTAGGAAAAGATGGTCAGCGGCAGACCTGTGTTACTTACAGTTAAATGATAACAAGCTTGCTTTGCCTTTTATACACTGAGATTTGTGTCATGGATCAAACATTGAAGTAAGAAAACTCCAAACTGCAGTCAAGCGGTAATGGGAGGCCTATAGTAATGACCATCTGAGAGCGCTTTATAACCAAGGAACCCAGTGGTTGCAAAGCAGTGAAAACTGCTTTGGTCCTAGGATGTCTTCCCAACATAGGGTCTGCGCAAGGGTCTCGTAAAGTGGGGCTTGTGCAAGAACTCTAGGAAGGAATGCAAACTCTGCTCACAAGACTCAGGAGGGTCTTTGCAGATGGGAGCTTGCGAAGCTGGAAAGCCTTGCAGGGCAGAGAACACTGGAATGCCACAGGCTCAGCCTGTGTTCTCAGAATATGGAGTAATTCTGATTGCTCTGTGTCCACAAAACTCGGGAGTTAAAAGCCCCTTGATGTACTGTGTGTGTCAGACCTTATGGTGCCTTATCCACTGTGGCTCTTCGCAGATGCACCTGGATAGACAACAGGTGGTAAAACTCAGTGTCCTTAGTTAGCATTTCTTAGAAGAACCACATTTGCTATTGAATGCTGCATGTTCTCCCCCTAACCATCTTCCTTCTCAATGCCACCCCTACCACAGCCTGCAAGATTAACAAGATAATGCACCTAATAAAAGCCCAAAGCTCAGTGCCCTCGCCATTCATTCTACAAGAGACTGTGTTGGCCCCCTGGACCCAAGCTGTCAAATTCTACTCTTGTCTGTGTCTTATTTCTTTTCTCACTCCCTCATGGCCACTGAGACTCAGGGCACCTGTATACAGGGTTAGGCTGGTTCCCAACAGGTTTTTTTTCATTTTTAAGAGACCAGATCTTGCCCTGTTATCCAGGCTGGAATGCAGTGGTACAATCATAGCTCACTGTAGCCTCAAACTCCTGGGCTCAAGCAATCCTCCCACCTTGCCCTCCCAAAGCAGTAGGATAACAGGTGTGAACCACCATGCCCAGCCTAATTGTTTTTTTAAGAGACAGAGTCTCACTAAGTTGCCCAGGCTGGTCTCAAACTTCTGGCCAACAGCAATTTCCCACCTCAGCTTTCTGAGTAGCTGGATTTACAAGTGCACTGAGCAATTTTTAAAGTACATTTGGCAGGGTACAATGGCTCATGCCTGTAATCCCAGCACTTTGGGTGGCTGAGGTAGGCAGAGCATGAGGTCAAGAGTTCGAGACCAGCCTGACCAACATGGTGAAACCCCGTCTCTACTAAAAATACAAAAATTAGCCTGGCGTGGTGGCACATGCCTGTAGTCCCAGCCACTCAGGAGGCTGAGGTGGGAGGATCGCTTGAGCCCAGGAGTTCTGGGCTGTAGTGCACTATGCTGATTGGTGTCCGCATTAAGTTCAGCATCAATACGGTGACCTCCCGGAGAGGGGGACCACCAGGATACCTAAGGAGGGGTGAACCAGCCCAGGTCAGAAATGGAGCAAGTCAAAACTCCCGTGCTGATCACTAGTGGGATCGCACCTGTAAATAGCAACTGCACTCCAGGCTAGGCAACATAGCAAGACCCCTGTCTCTAAAAAAAAAATACAAAAATTAGCCAGCCGTGGTGGCAGGCACCTGTAATCCCAGCTACTCAGGAGGCTGAGGCAGAAGTATCACTTGAACCCAGGAGGCGGAGGTTGTAGCGAGCTGAGATCGAGACACTGCACTCTAGCCTAGGCGACACAGCGAGACTCCGTCTCAAAAAAAGGAAAAAGAAAACAGATGAATGGATAAAGAAATTGTGGCATATACGAGATCGCGCCATTGCACTCCAGCCTGGGTAACAAGAGCGAAACTCCGTCTCAAAAAAAAAAAAAAAAAAAAGAAAAAAAAAAGAAATTGTGGCATATATACACAATGGAACATTATTCAGCCACACAAAAAGAAGAAAATCCTGTCATCTGCATCAATGTGGATGGAACTGGAGGTTATTATCTTAAGTGAAATAAGCCAGGCATGGAACGACAAATACAACATGTTCTCACATGTGACAGCAAAAAAAGTGGACCTCATGGAGGTAGAGTAGAATGGTGGTTAACACAGTTTAGGAAAGGAAGAGGAGAGAGGGAGGGATGAAGAGAAGCTGATTAATGGGCACAAAAATACAGTTAGAAGGAATAAGTTCTAGTGTTCAATAGTGCTGAAATGAAATTATAGTTAATAATAATTTATTGTAGGTTGGGCACGGTGGCTCAAGCCTGTAATCCCAGCACTTTGGGTTTACACGAGGTGGATCACGAGGTCAAGAGATTGAGACCATCCTGGTCAACATGGTGAAACCCCGTCTCTACTAAAAACACAAAAAATTAGCTAGGCATGGTGGTGCATGCCTGTAATCCCAGCTACTCAGGAGGCTGAGGCGGGAGAATTGCCTGAACCCAGGAGGCGGAGGTTGCGGTGAGCCGACATTGTGCCATTGCACTCCAGCCTGGGTAACAAGAGCGAAACTCCGTCTCAAAAAAAAAAAAAAACAATAATTTATTGTATATCTTAAAATAGCTAGAAGAGAACTGTAATGTTTCCAACACAAAGGAAAAATAAATGTCTGAGGGAATGGCTATCCCAGTTACCCTGATCTGATTCTTTTTTTTTTTTTTTTTGAGACAGTTTCACTTTTGTTGCCCAAGCTGCAGTGCAATGGCACTATACCAGCTCACCCCAACTGCTGCCTCCCAGGTTCAAGGATTCTCCTGCCTCAGCCTCCTGAGCAGCTGGGATTACAGGCATGTGTCACCACACTGGGCTAATTTTGTATTTTTAGTAGAGACGCGGTTTCTCCATGTTGGTCTGGCTGGTCTCAAACTCCAGACCTCCAGTTATCTGCCCACCCTGGCCTCCAAGAGTGCTGGGATTATAGACATGCACCACCATGCCCAGCCTCTGATTCTTACACATTGTTTAATTTTATCAAAATATCAAAAATTTTATATCCCAAAAATAGGTACAGCTAGAATACATCAATAAGAGAAAACAGGCCAGGCTCAGTGGCTTATATCTGTAATTCCAGCACTTGGAGTGGCCAAGGCAGGGGGATCACTTGAGGCCAGGAGCTCAAGACCAGCCTGGACAACACGCCGACCCCAGGCATAGTGCCATGGCCTGCAGTCCCAGCTACTCAGTAGGCTGAAGTGGGAGGATCACCTGAGCCCAGGAGTTGGAGGATGCAGTGAGCTGTGATCACACAACTGCACTCCAGCCTGGGTGACTGAGAGAGACCCTCTCCCCACCCCAAAAAAAAAAGAAATTCCGGGTGCAGTGGCTCACATCTGTAATCCCAGCACTTCAGAAGACCGAAGCAGAAGGACTGCCTGAGCCCAGGAATGTTGAGAACAGTCTGGGCAGCATGGTTAGCTGCTATCTCTAAAATGAGAACTTTTTTTTTTTTTTTTTTGAGACGGAGTTTTGCTCTTGTTACCCAGGCTGGAGTGCAATGGCATAATCTCGGCTCACCGCAACCTCCGCCTCCTGGGTTCAGGCAATTCTCCTGACTCAGCCTCCTGAGTAGCTGGGATTACAGGCACGCGCCACCAGGCCCAGATAATTTTTTGTATTTTTAGTCGAGACGGCGTTTCACCATGTTGACCAGGATGATCTCCATCTCTTGACCTCGTGATCCACCCGCCTCGGCTTCCCAAAATGCTGGGATTACAGGCGTTAGCCACTGCGCCCGGCCACGATAACATATTTTTTAAGGAAAAAATAAAGAAAAAACAAAATGATGGCGGATCCCTCCCAATAACACACTGAAAAGGACTCTAAAGACACAGGGGTAGCTGGGCGCAGTGGCGGGGGCCTGTAATCCCAGTTACTCGGGAGGCTGAGGCAGGAGAATTGCTTGAACCCCGGAGGTGGAGGTTGCAGTGAGCTGAGATCAGCCTGGGCAACAGAGCCAGATTCCGTATCCAAAAACAATAACAAAAACAAACAGCTACTAGAAGAACTGAAATTATATAATTTACAAAAGTCAAACAGATTGAGGAGAATAGAAGACGGCCAATGTATATATTCCAAATTCCTCTTGGCCTACAGTAAGAATGACTAAATAGAGATACTGGCTGAAGTTCATAAAACACAGAAATATAAACAAGAGTCCTTTTCAGTGGGTTACTGGGAGGGATCCATAACCTTAACAAAAGTGGAAAAAGCAGTAAAGGGGCTTTTACTTTCCATACTTTTCATTAAAAGGGTATTAGTTTTTAATATCCTTCCCTATTGTTTTATGCTAAGTCTAGCACGCCTTACTTTCCTAATTCAAAAAGTAAAAACCATAAAGTTAAAGGTGTTAGTACTGTGGTTTCCATGCTCTTCCACTACCAGGCGCCATCCCTCCACCGCCACCCCTCCACCAGCGTGGCCGAGCGAAGCTGCCCCTCCAGCTTTGCACTCAGCCCATCTGCTGACTTCCGCACTCCCCAGCAGAGCGCTTTCGGCACTCTTCCATTATTTAGTGTCTGTCTCTGCCACCAGGCTGGCAGCAACTGGGAGTAGGAGCTTTGCAGCCAGTTTCTGGCACAGAGTAACCGCTCAACCAACTGTGATGAATCAACCTCGGGGGTCTACAAAAGGGCGAGTCCCCCGGCGTCCCCCGGCTCAGCCTCCCTCGCCCCGCCGGCCCCGGCCTCCTTACACTCCGAGGTGCGTGTGCGACACGATCTTTCCGCAAGCAATGGTGGCCGGGCCTGGTTCGAAGCCGAGCGCCTGCAGATACATCCAGAGATGCTCCTTCTCGAAAGCGGTGACCGCGGCCGAGCTCATCCTCGCGTTAGGCACGCTGGCGGCAAAGAAAGAAAGCGGCAAGCCCAGGGGACTTGGAGAGCCCTCAGGATCCCTCCCTACGGTCAGCCTGAGGCCGCGGCGGCCCTTCCTTTGCCACCGCCTGCTCCTTTCGCGCCCGGAGCCATTTCGCCTCAAAGGGCCTTACAGCCTCCGTGAAATTGAGCTTCTAACGGTAGCGCGGCCACAACCGCCTCATCGAAACCGCCACAAACCGAGACTCCCGCCCTTAAGGAAGAGCAGTGTGCGCCGGCGCCGCCAGGCTTCCGAGGAAGGAGGGACTTCCCGGGAGGACTATATCTCCCGCCATGCAGTGCGCTCTTCTCTCCTCTCTTCCGGTCATGCCCAGCCCAGAAACTACACGACCCACAGGACATTGCGCAGCCAGCGAATTGTTCTGCGCTTGCGTAACCGCTGTTGTGCCCAGATCCCCGGGCTTTCGGGTTTCTGATTGTTGTTGTGTGGGGTCCATCCTAGTTGTTACGTCACATAAAAACCATAAATGGGCCGGGCGCGGTGGCTCAAGCCTGTAATCCCAGCACTTTGGGAGGCCGAGGCGGGTGGATCACGAGGTCGAGAGATCGAGACCAACCTGGTCAACATGGTGAAACCCCGTCTCTACTAAAAATACAAAAAATTAGCTGGGCATGGTGGTGCGTGCCTATAATCCCAGCTACTCAGGAGGCTGAGGCAGGAGAATTGCCTGAACCCAGGAGGCGGAGGTTGCGGTCAGCCGAGATCGCGCCATTGCACTCCAGCTTGGGTAACAAGAGCGAAACTCCGTCTCAAAAAAAAAAAAAAAACCATAAATGGAGCACAGTGCCTCGTTGTAGAGAAAAGGCACTGGTTCCATCCTCAACTATGCTCACTGTGACTCTGATCAAGTCACGTAATCTCTGAGCCTCATTCTGTCATTAGCAAAATCTATGCCCTCAAATGCTAGATGTTCCTTTTCCTGCTCTAAATGAAATCTGGTCTCTACTCCCCCTACAGTCTTTTTTTCTTTTTTTCGTTTTTCTTTTTTTTTAGACGGAGTTTTGCTCTTGTTGCCCAGATTGGAGTGCAGTGGTGCGATCTCGGCTCACTACAACCTCTGCCTCCCTGATTCAAGCGATTACTCTGCCTCAGCCTCCCTAGTAGCTGGAAATACAGGCGTCTGCCACCACGCCTGGCTAATTTTTTGTATTTTTAATAGAAACGGGGTTTCACCATCTTGGCCGGGCTGGTCTCAAACTCCTGACCCCAGGTGATCCAACCGCTTCGGCATCCCAAAGTGCTGGGATTACAGGCATGAGTCACTGCCTTCAGCAGCCTGCAGTCCTCTTAATTGACAGCTGTTGCCTACCACAAACCCCACAGACAACAGGGCCTGGAAGTGGATTGGGTAACCTGCTTAAGACTCATTGCTACCTCTGGCAATTATTGCCTCCTGCCTCACTATAACCACCTTTAAAAAAAGAGACAGTCAGAGGAGGGGGGCTGGGGAGGGGAGGAGAGAGAGAGAGAGAGAAAGAGAGAGAGGGAGAGAGAGAGACCTACCATGTTGCCCAGGCTGGGCTTGAGCTCCTAGGCTCAAGCGATCTGCCCACCTTGGCCACCCAAGGCATAAGCCACCGTGCCGAACCTAAAACCTCCTTTTGAAGTTTATGCTATCACCCATAGCTCTTCATTGTGGAGATCTTTGACTCCTTTCTGGTGGTGCATGCCTGTAATCCAGCTACTCAGGAGGCTGAGGTAGGAAAATCACTTGACCCTGGAAGGTTCAGTCTAGGTGACAGAGCAAGACCCTTTTCAAAGCAAAAGAACAAGGCCGGGCACGGTGGCTCACTCCTGTAATCCCAACACTTTGGGAGGCCGAGGCGGGTGGATCACGAGGTCAAGAGATCGAGACCATCCTGGTCAACATGGTGAAACCCTGTCTCTACCAAAAATACAAAAAATTAGCTGGGCATGGTGGCGCGTGCCCGTAATCCCAGCTACTCAGGAGGCTGAGGCAGGAGAATTGCCCGAACCCAGGAGGCGGAGGTTGCGGTGAGCCGAGATCGCGCCATTGCACTCCAGCCTGGGTAACAAGAGCGAAACTCCACCTCAAAAAATAAAAAAGAAGAACAACAACAACAAAATCTGACTCTTGTCGACAAAAAGAGTCAAACTCTGGGGGCCGGGCGTGGTGGCTCAAGCCTGTAATCCCAGCACTTTGGGAGGCCGAGGCGGGTGGATCACAAGGTCAAGAGAACGAGACCATCCTGGTCAACATGGTGAAACCCCGTCTCTACTAAAAACACAAAAAAGTAGCTAGGCATGGTGGCATATGCCTGTAATCCCAGCCACTCAGGAGGCTGAGGCAGGAGAATTGCCTGAACCCAGGAGGCGGAGGTTGCGGTGAGCCGAGATCGCGCCATTGCACTCCAGCCTGGGTAACAAGAGCGAGACTCTGTCTCAAAAAAAAAAAAAAACGAGTCAAACTCTGTAAAATTGTTGTCCGAAAAAAGAGAGTCCTGATGAGACCCAAAGAGAAAGTTCTTGGATCTTGTGCAGAAAATAATTTGAGGTGAGTCACAGAGCACAATGAAGGAAGTGAGTTTATTGGAAACTACTCTGTTGAAGAGCAGAGCAACCTCAGAAAGCAGGGGAAGGAACACACTGTCCTTTGTTAGTGTCTCTACTTACAAGAAACTATAAGGAGCTGTAATTAAACTTGCAACATGCAGATGTGCTCACTAAAGGTAGGGCTATTGTGCTTTCAGAGACCATGAATCTCTCAACAGAAGCTTGCTCTTTCATGTCCTCTTTAAGTAAAGTGGGCTGCTCCTTAGAACATCTGGACATTCTGCAGGCTTGATGGGAGATATCCTGTATGGCCATAAATATTCTGTAATTATAATTGGTGGTCAGTTTAGAATGTGGCTATTTTTAGACCATAGGTGTTAATTTTATAGGAGCCTTGTAAGTGCCTCGGCCTTCCAAGTAGCTGGGATTACAAGCATGCACCACCGTGCCCACCTAATTTTTGTATTTTTGGTAGAGACAGGGTTTCACCATGTTGACCACAATGGTCTGGAATTCTGGACCTCAGGTAATCTTTCTGCCTCAGCCTCCCAAAATGCTGGGATTATAAGCGTGAGGCACTGCACCCAGCCAGCTTCTTTACAGATGTAGATTTCCCCCCATAACCGATGGCTTTGCAGGCACATTTCAAAATATACCAAAGAAACATATTTTCGGAAAAAAAAAAATTTATTTCCTTCTTTATCTGTCATGTGATATTATGTCAGAGTCAGGTTGGAAAGTAAGCTGGGTTATATAGGGTTAAACAAAATCCATCTGATGAGATTTTTATAGTTTATAGGACGTGACTCCTTAAGTTTGGTAGTTAGGAATTTGGGCCAGAAAGAAAAAAGGTCAGAGTTTAGTCCTCACTCACTAGGCCTCATTCTAAGAAGATTTGGCAGCTAGGCACGGTGGCTCATACCCGTAATCCCAGCGCTTTAGGAGGCCATGGCAGGAGGACCATTTAAGGCCGGGAATTCCAGACTAGCCTGGAATCCTCCCACCTCAGCCTCCCAAGTAGCTGGGATTATAGGCACCCACCAGACCTGGCTAATGTTTGCATTTTTTAATTTTTTTTTTATTTTTGTTTTGAGGCAGAGTTTCGCTCTTGTTACCCAGGCTGGAGTGCAATGGCGCGATCTCGGCTCACCGCAACCTCCGCCTCCTGGGTTCAGGCAATTCTCCTGTCTCAGCCTCCTGAGTAGCTGGGATTACAGGCACACACCACCATGCCCAGCTAACTTTTTGTATTTTTAGTAGAGACGAGGTTTCACCTTGCTGACCAGGATGGTCTCGATCTCTCGACCTCGTGATCCACCCGCCTCGGCCTCCCAAAGTGCTGGGATTACAGGCTTGAGCCACTGCGCCTGGCCACATTTTTTTTTTTTTTAAGATGGGGTTTCTCGCCGGGCGCGGTGGCTCAAGCCTGTAATCCCAGCACTTTGGGAGGCCGAGGCGGGTGGATCACGAGGTCGAGAGATCGAGACCATCCTGGTCAACATGGTGAAACCCCGTCTCTACTAAAAATACAAAAAGTTAGCTGGGCATGGTGGTGTGTGCCTGTAATCCCAGCTACTCAGGAGGCTGAGACAGGAGAATTGCCTGAACCCAGGAGGCGGAGGTTGCGGTGAGCCGAGATCGCGCCATTGCACTCCAGCCTGGGTAACAAGAGCGAAACTCCAAACTCCGTCTCAACAAAAAAAAAAAAAAAAAAAAAAAAAGATGGGGTTTCTCCATGTTAGTCAGGCTGATCTCAAACTCCTGACCTCAGGTGATCCACCCACCTTGGCCTCCCAAAGTGCTGGGATTACAGGTGTAAGCCACCTCACCCAGCCTAATGTTTGTGTTTTTAGTAGAGGCAGGGTTTCACTATGTTGGCCAGGGTGGTCTGGAACTCCTGATCTCAAGTGATCCACCTGCCTTGGCCTCCCAAAGTACTAGAATTACAGATGTGAGTCACCATGCCCAGCCTAATTTTTTAAGGTTTTTTTGTTGTTGTTGCTGTAGAGAGAAGGTCTTACTATATTGCCCAGGCTGGTCTGGAACTCCTGGGCTCAAGTGATCCTCCCACCTTAGCCTCCCAAACTGCTGGAATTATAAGTGTGAGCCACTGCCCCAGATTGCTTCTACAATTCACTCCCTTAACTAATACTTTATTTATTTATTTATTTATTTATTTTGAGATGGAGTCTCACCCTGTTACCGAGACTGGAGTGCAGTGACGCGAACTGGGTTCACTGCAACCTCCACCCCCTGGGTTCAAGCGAGTCTCCTGCCTCAGCCTCCTGAGTAGCTGGGATTACAGGCCTGCACCACCACAGCCTGGCTAATTTTTTTTTCTTTTCTTTTTTTTATTATATTTTTAGTATAGAGTGTTTCACCATGTTGAAGGCTGGTGTCAAATCCCTGACCTCAAGCGATCCACTAGCCTTGGCCTCCCAAAGTGCTGCTGAGATTACAGGCAACTAATACTTAATGCTGCTCTGTCCCAGGCACTGCTCTAAGCTTTTCACAAATGTTAATTATCTAAGCTTCATAGCAAACCTAGCACTATTCCTGTTTTACAGATTTAAAAAATGAGGTGCAGAGAAATTAAGTAAGCTGCTCACAATCACACAGTAACTGGCAGAGTCAGATTAGAACCCAGAGGCTGAGCCCTTACCAGGCATGATATGTTTCCTCCCAGTTGACCTGCTTTTGGTCACATGCCCACCACTGGGCTAAGGGAAAGCAAAAACCTTGACCACTATCCTCACTGAGACCCTCAAAAGAAGCATGAATGAATCATGGGAGACCAAAAGACAACAAATGTGCACTATACCAGTGGAAAAAAAAACTCATGAAGTCAAGATTATGCAGCCCAGTTTTTATTATAAGTATTTCAGCAATTAAACTTTAA